TAGATTACCCATCACAACAAGTAACACTTAATAAAAAAAAAAAATATATATATATATATATATATATACACATAATTTTTGACCAAGAAAAGCTATACACAAACAATATTAGACATTGCATTTATAAAACTGATTTTTTTTAAAATAACCTGGGTACTTAAGAACCTGGATGGAAATGTTACCAAATTTAAAGACATATGTGCTCTTACCAAGTGATTAAATTAGCCTATCATTAAGTTATATGAACCATAAGCATTTGAGATAATATCTTCAGTGTTTATTTATCTATGAGCCAACATAAGTAGAACTTTTGGAGGATAGTGTATACTTAAAAATTAACATACATGTTAAGTTCAGTGGGCCAAAATAGCCTAGGTTCTTGTGTACAAGGAAAGAATTGCCAAGCATACAACTCACAGTATGTGGTACATTTATTGAAGATCATGAGGCAGCAGCAGGAACACAGAGAAAGGTGGAACGGGGAACAAAGGGCCTATGTAACTCAGGCTTCCAGAATTTATAGGGTCAGACACCCACTGGTCCTAGGTGCATCCCATTGTCTCTCTGCGGATGTCCGGCAATCAGTGAGACCTCTTAAGCTTGAGGCTGAGTAATCATTAGGGTGGTATTGTGTTTGTGGTTAGACAAAGGAAGGGAATGACTCAGCATCTTTGTTTCTAACTGTGCTCTTCTCCCCTGAGAGCCCTGTTCCCCAAAAATCTTTGAGGGGAGTGCAGAGAGGAAGTTCTATTTTTTGTAGCTATTTCTGCCTGGATGGGGCATTGGCCCTACATTCTCGGAGACTAAAGAACCCTCACTTTGACTGTTCTAGAGCTTAGGGAGCTGAACCCATCCTCTGAAGATTTTTTGATGGAGTGTGGGCCTAGGAGCAGTGCTGATCTTGAATTATAGTCACCACCGGTAGTTTGATGGCTGTCAAAAAGAAGAAACAAATTTGAGTAAGCGATTAAATATGCAAGATTTAATAGTAAAGCTTCGAGAAGCTTTGGAAGGTGATGGAGAATATGCTCATAAGGCATAGTGCTTAAAAACATATGTTTGTATTATTATATTGAAAAAATTCAGTTAAAGAAATATTCTCCCAGTATTTGAAATTTAATGTCTTATTCAGTCATGAGGGAGTCAGGTCAATAAGAGTTCTGCCATACGCTTTCATTGTTTCATCTGCATCTTACCTGTTAATGTAAATAAAATGTCAACCAGCATTTTTGGCAGAGTGACATTTATCTGTCAGCTGCTACCATAGGCAGGCTACAGATAGTTTTAACAAAAATCTTTGAAAAGTACTTTGAGAACCAAATGGGTATCTGAAAATTAAAGTATTTTATATTTTATTATTATTTATAAATTATTTGCTAGGCCATCATTACATCTGTAAAATTTATAACATACATACATATACAAACTTTTTTTTATTTTTGCAGCACTGAAGATTGAACCCAGGGCTTTTCCACTGAGCTACATCTTCAGCTCTTAAAAAATTTTTTTTTAGGAGCTAGGGATTTAGCTCAGCGGCAAAACACCCACCTGGCAAGTGCAAGGTTGTGAGTTCGATTCCCAGTACTGGAAAAAAAAAATTTTTTTTTTAATTTTGAGACAGGGTCTTGCTAAGTCACTAAGTTGTCCACAGGCTGGGCTTCAATCCTCCTGCCTCAGCCTACTAGAGTGCTGGAATTACAGTTATATACCACCATACCCAGCTTACACATTTACCCCCTCAAAAGAGCTGATTATTCAATAATTAATAATACCACTGGTGGAGATCATGCATAATACTGTATGTTATTCTTTTTAAATATGATTTAGATTGTGCTCTCTGAGAGTTAATGTGTGCCTTGTATACATGTGAATCTGATTTAGTGGTTAACTGCATATCCAGGAAAAATGTTAACGCCTTCTACCACCCAGCTAACCATAGTATCAGTGAAACCCACATTATTCCTGGAGAAAGGGAGTGCCTGGTGCCAGTTGTAGGCAGGTTGAAAGGAGCTTGGTGCTAAGCTGTAAAAGTCTGTAGAGAGGCTGAAAGGTAGAATCTAAATGAAGTAGGCAAACGGAAGTTCACTCCTAAATGCACCCATGGACTGTTATACTGACAGTACTGTGGCAGTGAGGTAGGAGAACCAAGGAAAAGCATCACAAACATAACAAATTCTGTGTTGGAAGGGCCACATCCTCCACCCCTGTCCCTGGTCCCAAACCCACAAGTGACACTTGACTCCTAGGAAGGAAGGAGGTTTTCAGGAAGCAGACACCCATGAGAAACAAAGAACTGACAGAGGATAAACACGCTATGGAAGAAGAAGGGTTTGAGTAGAATGCAAATAACTTAGAAGAAAAAGTTCTGCAGGCATTGATGATGCTCAACAGTTTGCTCCTTCTAGAATCTTCTTTCCATTGTCACAAGGAAGCTGGATCCTGATGCAGAGAGGAACAAGCCCCTCACTTCCTTGGTCCTCGGTTCTCTCTGCTGCTGAAAGAATTCAGTCAAGACACATAGGCGGCCATGCAGAAGCAAAGGCAGAATTTATTGTAAAGCCGATACAGAGTTATATCTTCAAGACAGAAGGCACATGATGCCACAAAGGGACCCACCAAGTGAGAGTTTAGATACCTTTTCATGCACACAAAAAGTTACTCGTGGGGTTCAAGGAGCTATGATGGCTATGATGCTTGTCAACATTTCCCTTAGCGGTTACTTTGGAATGTCGGTATCTTGAAAGTGTCTTCGTTATTCCATCTGCATGGTCAGTGTTTCCTCAGAGGCCTTAATCATACAAGAACCCAAATCAGTTCTCAGCCCCAGGTGGGAGGGTCTTTAAGGAATGCTCCCCTTTCTGAGATCGTTGGGTATGGGCCATGACACCAGGGAATGTGCCGTTCCTTGTCGTGGAGATGGATGGCCAGGCTGTGCACAATGTATAACCTTCACAGGTCCTTGTGCACTGTGGGATCGCTTTGGGTCTGAGACCTAATACCTGTCTGTAAGTGAATTATACACTGAGGTCTGTTTCTGCAGCTGGCAAAGCTATTTTGCTATTTGGGACTCCTCCTTTGTCCATCAGGGCCTAACGTTTAACAACCTGCTTAACATCATGGCTTTCAAGACCTGCCATCCTGCTCCTGACCAGTCCGCCCAGGAATGATAAGCAGAGCTCCAGTGGTGAGGCACGTTGCTAGTGAATAAATCTTAAAGAGCAATCCCAAATGGCCAGCTAAAACATCATTTCTTATAACATGTGGATGTGAGGATGATAAGGAAACCATTTGTCCAGCACCTGGCCCCCAAACTCAGGGGAAGGGATTGCTGATCTTTGTTGTGTTTTGAGGTGAGACAGAGGGGATGCCCTAGGAGAGTCCGAACTGTTTGCCCTGGATCTGATCTCCCCGGCTGTGTTCTCTCCATTTGCTCCTGCTGGGGTCCAGGGCGATTCGGGGATCAGATGAAGAGCGCCCCCTGGGGGTAGAAAGCTGAAGACAGTAGGATGCCGTTCAGCACTGTTACACGTGCTGTGATCAGAGGAGACAGTAGATACTTAAAAATAATTACAGTAAAAGTCAGTTTCATTAAATCCCCTTAGAATACTCCCTCTCATTGTAACCACGCCTCATTGTTCTTGCTCCTTTCTAACGCAGTTCCTGAAGTCCTCTTTCGTGAGTGATTTTATCGGTCTCCTAAAAAATACAGTGAATGCTGCTGCAGGTATCATCCAATGGAAACGCAGGCTCCTAAAAATATGAGACTGTGTCTTCATCCTCGTTATTCAGCGGATATAGCACCGCGTGACTTCCGGCTCTTCCTCAAAGTCAAAATGATCGTGAAAGGTAAATGTTTCACCTCAATTCAGGACCTTGAAGGAGCCACCACAGTACAACTGAAGACACTCACAAAAGTGGACTTGCAGAACTGCTTCAGAAAATGGTAAGAGTGAGGGAATAATACGTTTGAAGCACAGGGCAGTATTTTAAGGGAAATTAATGGCCACGTATCTTTTACTGTGATACATTTTTTTCAAAAAAATTGAACATTTGATCACATCTCATAGATTAGGAGTAAAAGCCTAGGAAGCTCTCTTTGGCCCAGCTGTGGTTCTCTTCATGCTGACATTCAGCTTCATCTGCACCAAGAGACAATGGACAATGTGCTTCTCTGCAGAGGAGAGCAGCTGTGATGTTGGCGGGTCCTCGGGGACCGCACCCCTCTTCCACAGAGACTTGGAGTCAGTGGTCAGTGCGCATTGAGAAGGGGCTGCTGCCGGTGCCCAGGAAAGGTCCTGCTCTCAGTACACCAGGAAACCCTTCCACCGTCTCTCCTATCCGTGTTTTTAACCTCCCTCTCTTCCCACCTGCATATACACATGCCTAAGACTTTCCTAGCTTAAAAATCTTTAGGGCCAGGAAAGCCAAAGATAACACCTCCTGGATGCTACAGCCACCTAGCTACCGCCCAACTCTGACCTCTTCACAGCCACACTATGGAGAGAGCTGGCTGCCCTTGCTGCCTCAGCTTCCTTCCTTCTCCCTACCCCAGGAAACCAGGCTGCTTGGGACACATTAGGGTGACAGACCCTGCTGTCCTGGTAGTGCTAAAGTGCTGGCGCTTCCCCCTGACTGGAAGCACCCTTTTATCACGGGTGGAGAATGTACATTCTCAGCTTGTCCTCCTCTCTTACCACTCCACTGGCTGCCCATCGAAGATGATACCACCTTCTAGCCACTTGCTCAGGACACCCGCGGATGACCATGGCGTCGTCTGCAGCTTTTCCCTCTCTCCAGCTCAGCAAGCGCTGCCTCCAATATCCCAGTGTTCCAGTAGCTGCTGGGGGGCCTGGGGATTTAGCTCAGCGACAAAAGTGCCTGCCTGGGAAGTGCAAGGTCGTGAGTTCGGTTCCTGGTACCGGAGAAAAACCGAAAAACCAAACAAAAAAAACAAAAACAAAACAAACAAACAAACAAACAAAAAAACCCAGTAGCTGCTGGGCTGGCCTCCCTGCCTCTACTCCCACCGCCAGTGGCAGCCAGAGGCACCCCGATCCTTCTAAGCTCTGTGAAGTCATCCCTGACCCTTCCTAGGCCCGGGTACCTGTCCTGCTCATTTGTTCCAGAACACCTGAATATTCTTTCTTAGAGTCACACCCCTGTGTCCCCCACAGCTGCTGAGCTCGGTGAGGGCCGGGTATGTGTCCTTCCACATGGCCCCTCCTAAGCATTCCACAAAGTCTGGGAGTGTGTCGTTTCTCCCACTTTTCTATCCAAATAATATTCGCAGATCCGGAAACAAAACTCAAAGGGAGGAAAGAGAGGTACGAGTCTGATAAGTGCACTGATTGTTGAAAGTAGTTTCAAAATGAACGTCCTAAGAGGACCCCGGCTTGCTGGCCATCTTATTCCCTTGCGAAATGCGGGCTTGTGGACTTTCAAACATGAACGATCTCTGTGCCCGCCGGCCGGTGACCCGGGCCGCCGGTGCGGGTGAGCAGCGAGGCCAGGCCGGAGACCGCGCCGGGCGCAGGTGGCGGGGACCGAGGCCAGAGCGGCCGGCGCCAGCCCCAAGCGTCCACTGCCCTTGCGGTGGCGGGGAAGAGGGTGTGGACTGGGGAAGGTCTCCCATCCGGGGGCGGCTCAGCTGAAGACAGAAACTCCGGCCCGGAGAGTTTTTCTAGGAAACGAAAGCGAAACAGGCAGCGTTAACTTCCCGGAGGAGCGGTGGCCGCGCAGTCCCCGACGGCGGAGCCCAGGATGGCTGCGTCCCGCGCCTTCCCGCTGCTGGTCGAGGGGTCCTGGGGCCCCGACGCCCCCAAGAACCTGAACACCAAGCTGCAGTCCTACTTCCAGAGCGCCAAGCGGTCCGGAGGCGGCGGCGAGTGCGAGGTCCGCAGAGACCCCGCGAACCCGGCGCGCTTCCTGGTGCTCTTCTCCGAGGACGGTGAGGCGCGCTCCCGGAGGGCGAGGAGGGCGCGGACCGCTCTTTCTCCGGAGGAGATGGGGTCCTGGCCGGCGGGTGCGGGGGCCGCCCACGTAGCGGTCCGGAGTTGGGGCGCCGGGAGGGAGTGGAGCGCACCGGGACGCAGCGGTTCCTGTGCGCGCTGCGCTCGGCGCGTCCCGGCGGGGCTGGAGGTGCGGGCAGGCATAGGCAGGCGATTCGCTCTCCTTCCTAACCCTTTCTTGGTTTTCCCTGTTGCTGTTGTTGTGGGGGACGCTAAGAAAAATGAGGACTCCTAATAATTCCTCATGGGTCACGGAGATGCCCGAGGCCTCCAGACTCTGTCTAGGGTCACTGAGAGAGGGGCAGCGGTGCTTCCCAGAGTCACCTGGTCTGGGTGTAAACACGGTCTTCGCTGTGGTCTGTGCAGGGAGGGGAGGCCCTGCGCTGCAGGTAACGACACACAGCGCCCTTGGCCTGCTGTTGTCTCCTCCCTGCCTGAGGTGGCTGGTAGATTGGCAGCAGATGATGCTCTGAGGTGAAGGTGGGGAAGTTTCCTCCTCCCGGGCTTGAATGGCAGAGTTCTCCCCAGCTTGGCAGCCTTGTTCCTACTTGGGAAGGGAGGCCAGGCCACACACATTGGGCCTACCAGGTCTCATCCCTCAGTATGTGGACAAGCCCGATCAGCCTCGCTCTGAGTCACTGGACCAGGAGAAGCTTTTGGGCCACAGTAGAGGCAGGGAGGCTTAGGAGGCCATGCAGTTAGAGCGACTGGAATGGCCTGGCAGGGATCCAGCCGGGGGAAATGGCGCAGAAAGAGAAGGGCACACAGATAGGTTTGAAGGAAGTGAGGATGGAAGGGGACAAGACACCCTTTATTTATGGAAAACCAAAGACAGTGTCTTCTGCCGGGCATGGTGGCGCACGCCTGTAATCCCAGCACTGGGGAGGCTGAGGCAGGAGGATCGCTGTGAGTTTGAGGCCAGCCTGGGCTACAAAGTGAGCTCAAGACCAGCTTGAACTGCATATCAAGACCCTGTCTCAAAAAGACAAAGAAAACAAAGCAAAGCAAAACAAAACAAAAACAATGTCTTCCAAGGACTGCCTTCATCACGGGGTGTCCAGGAGGCTGGCTGAGGAGATAAGTCATCAATTCGATTCCAATTGCCAACATCAGAATCCTTGATTCCCTTAGGGATTTCTTTCTTAGGCTCCCACCAGCCTCAGCAATGATGCTCAGACTGTGGACCCAGACCACCAGTGTCTGAACCCCCCAGAGGGCGGTGAGCCAGGGACTTGGGCAGCTCTGTTGGAGAGTCCCATGGTGAGTGTGGGTGGTGGGAGCCAGCCCCTCAGGTGACCTCAGCGCCTGGACTTGGAGAGTCTCTGTGGTCTGCTAATAACAGACACCAAATGAACAAAAATGGAAGTAATTATACAAAATGTCAGCGGCGTAAGAGTGCAAGCAGCCTCCCTGCCGGGCTTTCTTCCTCACAGCTGTAGGCGCCTGCCCCTCCTCCTCCACCTCAGCCTGGTTCAGTGGCCTCTTTTCCCTGACTCCTCAGCTCAAGTAACTGAAAACCTTTGGGAACTGTTTATGGCCAAAGTTCTTAGAGGGTGGAAACTGCCTTTTCAGTTTCAGTTTCCTTGTGGGGAACCACTTTCTCAAGTGTGTTGTCATCAAGAATTTGCTGACAGTGAACGGTCCAATCCTGGCAGTCCTGCTGCACACTTTTGCCCTCTACCCTGCACCCTCCACGCCAGGAAGTGGGCTCAACAGGTGCAGGCCCACAGTGTGACGTGACTTCAATTCATCTAAGCCTCCAGCCTCCGAACAGTAGAAATGAGCCTACCAGCTCTCCTCTGTAGAGTGGTATTTACCAAATAGGAATGAATAGGAAGTGATTTTTGGCTTTTGTAGAGTTAACTGGATTTCTGATAAACTGATTATCCTCCCAAGTCCTCCTCCTCTTCCTCCTCTTCCTCCTCTTCCTCCACTTCCACCTCTTCCTCCTTTCCTTTTTTCTGGGCTGGGGATGGAATCAGGGCCTCACACATGTTAGGCAAGAGTGCTTGGTACTGAACTGTATATAACATTAAACCCTGACCTAACTTTTCTTTTTTAAAACCATAATACTGAAGTAGATTTATTGTAGCTACTCTAAATTTTAGAGCTATACATGACCTCAGAGTTTAAAACTATCACTTGTTGCTGGTTATTTTACAATAATTGGTTTAGTCTACAAGTTTAAGGCAAGCGTACTAATTAATGCATTTTTCTTCAGAACCCACACTTAGAAAGATTATATAAAGTCTGGCCCATAACTTTTATGATCATTAAAAGTAAGTGTGATTAAGATGCTTTACAAAAATATGTGAATGAACTAAGAGTATACAGGACAATACTTGTTTAATTTTAAAGATAAAAGAATGAAAACATCTTATCAAACACACGTTCATTTAGAAAATAACACGAAAAACAATACAAGCAATACAGAATCTCAGACAAGGTGATAGGAAATTAACAATGGTTGTTGTATTACATATTGATATCCTCAATTTGGACACTCAGATAAACAACTATAGACATGTAAGACTGATCATACAGGTAAACATTAACTGTTCCTTTCAGTAGAGCAATCAAAGTCAGTAGTACAACTACGTTAGCTATTCTGTGTATACATGTATATCTTTTCCCCTTATTTCTTTTCTCTTTTCCCTCATCCCAGTTGTTCTTTCCTTTTGAGCAGTTTCCTTCCCTTTCACAGTGTCTACTGTACCTCCTAGATTTTAGTCACTTTCAGGTTCTTACACTAGTGATATAATACGGTGCTTACACATGCAGGTCTGATTTATTTCACTTATGAATATGGTCTCTAGTTGGGTCCATTTTCCTATAAAAGCCTCGAGATTATCTCTCTTTATAGCTGAGTAATATTCCATTATGTAAAAATACTGCAATTTTTTTTATCCATTCCTCAGTGGATGGGTATTTGACAATACTTTTTAAAAACAAAATTTAAAAAAATCAAGAAAGGCCATCTTTACCTTATTTGAACAATGTAATTCGAAAAGGTTAAACTTTAGAAATGATTTAAAGGTAAATAAGATTGGCATACATAAAGAACACTATTTATAAAATAAACCCAGTTATCAAGGCTACTTAAAAAAGACTGGACTCTGGGCTTTGGGGCAGGATGGGTGCAGGTGACGAACGTTGTCCAGGGACACAGTGGGTGGCATAAACTGCACTGCTTGCTGCTTCTCAGAAGAGAGGTAGAGGAGATGCACTTTGTCAGCTTTGCTTTTGGTGAGCAGAAATGCTTAACATCATTAGGAAAACAAAAATAAGATCTGAAGGAAGGCAGCCCTTTTTAACAGGAACCGAAAGTGGTTCATGTATCTCCATTCGACACTGCCAGGAAGTTCTGCAGCAACTGGAGGTTACCCTTGGCATGCTTCAGTTCTAATTCCACAAGTTCCACTCAATTTTTTCTGAGTGCAGTAACTCTTCTTGTCTTAAAGTCTGTAAGTTCTTGTTTTTGCAGGTTCAGATATTTTTTCAAACTTCTGACAGCATAGTTGTTGGGAAGTTTCAGCCGGCGGAACATTTTTATTTTTTGCCCTTGCTTTATCCAGCTCTTTGTTAGCATTTTCATAATACACTAATGACCGAGATCTTCAGTAGAGGCAATCCTTAACTGCTTGAAATTCTCTTAAGTAATATTTTAAAAGGTCAGAAGGTTTGAGGTCTTCATTGGCAGATACTAGTGCTTTTATTTTTCTTGTTTTATCAAACAGTTCTGAAACTTTGAGGAAAAACTTGCATATATTGGTAGAATCCTGAGTTCCTAAAACATATAATGAAGAACCAATTCTGTTGTGATTATCTGCAGCACTTTTGTGGAATCTTGTCAACCTGTGAGATTTAGCAGATGCATCCTAAACTCGGTTATGATATTCTAAAAGGAATATTTGTTGATGCTCAGAGAAATCATCTACATCCTTTACTCCTGAAACGACTCCATCTGCTGATTTGACCATGTTTTAAAAGAAATCTTTAAGATTCTGTTTTTATTTTTTCCTCAAACACTCAAATCTTGATTATATTCCAAGAAGATATGGCAATTTAAATCTTTTCTCAAAATAGGATGAGCTGCCACAGGACACAGGAACACTTCATACATTGCCACTGTCTTCTTGAATATTGCCAAATACTCAGCTTCCAGTTCTTGTTTTTTTTTCTTTGTGAATTCATCCTTTGTCTTGACTCTTTCCCTTCTCCAAGCTTCTGTAACTTTTCTCTTGAAGTATCAAAATCAAGCCTTGGTGGTGCTGTAGGGATGATATAACCTGCATAGTCTTCATTTTCAATGAAGAAGTCATGATGCTAGATAAATTCCTCATGTTGTTCAACAACAGAAAACTCATTTTATTTAAGATAAGGCAATGAACTCTATGTATGGACAGTGAATTTTCCTTTATCCCTCTCACTCAGAGCATCAGAAATGTCCACCTGCAGAGCGGCATCACTTTGAAGATCTACATATATTGCTTTAAGTCCAAGAGGAAGTCGGGGCCATCATCCAGGCCTTCCTGCTGTGCTGATGGGCCAAGCGCATCAGGGGTTGGGGGATAGGACAGGATGGGGGAGACACAAAGGGAGACATTAGTGCCAGGCCGGCACAGTTGCCTGTTTCTGCCTCGGAGCCCGCTGCCACCGCTGCCACCGCTGCTGCTGTTGCTGCTGCTGCTGCTGCTGCTGCTGCTGCTGCTGCTGCAAGCCCCGGGCTCGGCACCACTGAGAACCCTGACCTAACATTTTCAACCTTATTTTGGATGTGTACATTCTGTCATACTTTCTGGTCACAAGTTTGCTCCTGCTTGTTGCCAGACACCTTGAGGTGAGGAAACCATGTACTTAAATAAAATCAAACATAGATGATCTGAGGTTGGTGCAGGAGGGAAACTTCCTGTGTGGGCAAGGGAAGGTAGACATCAGAGTTTCTGCTCTTTTCCCTCCCAGATTCACCTGCTCCCTGGTGGGTGGGGATCACACACTGATATTACTACCTTTACTCTCCTGAAATGTTTGTGCCTGTTCGCAGTGTGTACAGTTAGAGAAAAGGCTGGCACATTTAGAGGCCTAAACAGGACTTTGTCATCGTGTCTTAGCCACTCTTCTGTCAGTGGACAAAATACCCAAACTCCAGTGGAAAGGAGGAGAGGTTTATTTTAACTCATGGTTTCAGGCTATGGTCAGCTCACTCCAAGGCAGAAACAGGAGGGCAGAGGGGCACGGTGGTGGGGAGGGGCACAATCCAGGGCAGCAGGGGAGCAGAGGGAGAAGAGAGGAGCTGGGAAGGAGATCCACCTCTGGGTCACATCTGCAGTGGCCGCATCTTCCCACCAGGCTCCACCTCACATTTAGCTCATTGGGTTCATCAGCAAATTAATAAATTGATGAGTATAGTGTCCCTATGACCCAGTCACCTTCCATACACATGAGAATTTGAAGAGATATTTTAGATCTGAACCATAACAGAAAGTCTGGGAAGTAATAAAATGAATGCAACTCAAAGATGCATGTGAGCAGATCATGTGCCTTATAAAACAGGCTTCCCCACTAGTCCTCAGGCCTCAGTCCAGCTCAGCATAGGCCCTCAGGAGTCCATGCAGAAATATTTGCCCTACCCATAAAGAGCAAAGTTAGAGTCTGATCTCCCTTCCCAGACTGTTTCCAAGGCCTGCTTCTGAGTGGGTATCCAAGTGAGGTCCGGACTGGACCAGGTGGGAAAGTGATCGAACCCCTCTTTATGAGAGACTCTGACATCATCAGGCCAGCTACACCAGAGCACAGCATTGCTACCAACACTTGTGCCACAGCTGCAGCCACGAACACCAGGGTGCTGGCAAAAACCACTTTCTCCTTGACCTCTGTACTTTCTGACCATGCTGAGCGCGCTTCCTCCCTTAACTCACTCCTTTCTTTTTCTCCATGGTCTGGGTGACACTGATTTCCCTTCTCTGTCTGGCTGTTCCTTCTGATAACTTCAGCTCACGTTTGCCATATTCTTGATGGTACTGCAGAAAGCATTCCTACCCTTTCCCTACTTTGAGTGGGGAAACAGATTCCAGAGAAGTTAAAGCATTTGCCTACAGTCACTTTGCTAGTTTGTGGCAGAGCTGAAGGTCGAATTCAGGGCTTTGGACTCTTTGGTCCACTGTTCGTTTTGTTCACTGGTGCCCAGTTTCCTCAAGTGCTAATTATTATTATTTTTTTGCAAGTCTCACTCCTCCTTTCTTTTCTGTTCCCTTTATCATCAGATGGGAGGCCTTATCCCTACAGGTTAACAAATTGGCTGAAACAGCTTTCTACCTAGGCTCCTGGTCACTTTGTTCATGGTCACCTGAATCCCTTCTGAAAATGTGGCTTTCATCATGTTGTGTCCCAGCACCCAGTCTGCCCTGGTTCTACAGGAGGGTTGCTTTCATTATTGCACATCAATATAGAATGAATGTTGTACCACTTTTTGAGTGCCTGCATAACAGGTACTGCATTAAATTCTTTATAATTTTTCTTCAAGTTCATCTGAACTACAACAAGACAATCTCTACTAACCTCATTAATTGATAAGAAGACTGAGGTTTTTGTGGCAAGGCTTATTAAGCTGTTTGTTAGTCAGCTTACTGTTACTGTGACAAAATACCTGAAATAAGTAATTTTTAAAGAGGAAATAATTTGGCTCAAAAGTTTTGGAGTGGTCAGCCCTGGATCGGTTGGCCAGTTGCTTCTGGGTCTGTGGCAAGGCTGTATATCATGGTGGGAGTAGTTGGAAAAGGAAGCCCTCATCTCATGGTGGGAAGGGGAAAAGGGAGGAAGAGGAAGAGGAAGAGGATGGGCTGGCGCCTGTGACCTACCTTCCTCCCACCAGGCTCCACCTCTTAAAGGTTGTACCACTTCCCATTAGTTCATAGGCTGGAAACTAATCTTTCAGTGCTGGGCCCTTGGGGGACACTCCATGTCCAAACTTAGCAGTATTTATTTAAAAATATGTTGGAAAATGAACAGCAAATCCACATCTGCTAGCTAAGGTTTCCCTCTTTTTACTTTATGTAGTGTTTCTTGAGAAACTAACTGAGCCATTGACTGAAGGTGAGGAAGCCATAGAAATCATGGTATACTTATGTAAATGAAGGCTGCTTGTCATTTGTGTGTTTTTTTTTTATATTTCAGTTCGGCAGAAAGTTCTGCAAAAAACAAATCATGAGTTAGTCTTGCCAGGAAAAGGAACTTTCCAGTTAACTGTCCAGCTGCCCACCACTCCAGATGAAGTCCCAGACTCTAAGGAGAAAATTTCAACAAATGTAAGTAAACTTGAGGGCACACAGGGATCCAGACTGTTCTTCCCAGATGGGAATCTCAGTGAAGGAGATAAAGTAGAATGAGAAGCATAAATCAAAGTGGAGTGAGAAAAGCGGGCTACACATGTGGAGGGAGGGAGGGCAGTGAGGAGATGACATGGAATAAAGAAGAAGGAGGCACTTTTGTTTGATGTTAGACACATGAAAAGGCAAAATGTGAGGGTTACAGTAATTTTGCTTTAAGACAGTAGTGGCGAACCTATGGCACGTGTGCCATTGCAGGCTGTTTGCATCACTGAAAGCTCTAAAAGTTTCACCATCCCTGGTTTAGGATATAAAATTTTGGATCTGTTGGCCTTGGATTTTTTATAACCTGAAACTTGCTATTTTCTTTTTCTCTTTACATCATCTTGAGGGGACAGTGATTCATACTGCAGGTAATCTTTCCTTAATTGTAAAGGAGATTGTCAGATTATTGAGGGTTAAATGAAATGACATCTTAGAAGACATGGAACCATTTTGCTTGTATAGTAAACAATAAATGTTAAATGGGGAGAACTTCATGAGCTAAGCTCTTTGCGTGACTTAGGTCTTAACCTGTACCCCGGACACTTGGTGCAGAGTTGGGTGCAGTGGCTCATGCTTGTAATCTCAGCACTTGAGAGTCTGAGACGGGAGGATTGTGGTTTCCAGGCCAATCTAGATTACTTAGGGAGATCCTGCCTCAAAACACAAAAATAAAATCCCAAATGGTGTAAATTTGGGATTTCTTTTATTTTTGTCTCATTTTCACCAATGATTGTTGTGGCTAGTAAGTAGATACTATGATGCTATGACATGTGGCCCCAGATGCATGCAAGAGCCCCATTCCTGGAGCTTTACATTATGGTTTCTATACACTCTATATCTCCAGGGGGATCCCCGGATCATTATCTTAGTGTAAAGAAATTATTATCAGTATATTAATGTTACTTTATTGTCTGGGTTTCAGGAATCCAAGACCAAAGAAGATGTCAAAGAACCAGGTAAAATGTCAGTTGAAATGACTCTGACCTTCACCAGACAGTTTTGTTTTTATCAAAGCAGACACTTGAGACCAATAAAGTTAACTAACTTTTTTAAAAAAGAAGAAGACACTTGGGGCACCTATCCTCCCTTTTTGACATATAGAACACAGAGTTTATTCAGCTGGGAGCTGCCGTGCAATGTGTGATCTTCATATTTGAAGCCAGCCGTGCAGAAGCCAGACACAGGGGAGCTCCTTGAGCTCTCAGGGGTTAGCTCACAAGGATGGGAATAGTTCCCTCTGGAGACTGGGAAATGTTTTGCAGCGGAGAAGGCAAAAGAGTCCCTAGGTGGTGGCAATGAACTGAACTCTAGAGCTGGCCAGTGGGAAGCAAGGACAGATGTGACATGTTTGTGGATGCTGTGCATGGTCGTCAGGTGGCACTGCTTAGCAAGCACTGGCTGTGTCCTCCAGAGCCACCTGAGGGAGGTGTGACTCCTCTGTGGACAACAGCTCCCCAGAGGTGCTGCAGGATGTGGAATGCACCCCCCGCCCCAAGGCAGCAGCTCTTCTGATCTCACGTGCTGTAGGAAAAGCCAGCAGCCAAGCAGATGTCATGGACTCTGCTGCTTAATGCACTATTGAGCATAGGTCTGTGGTGCCAGCTGACAGTTACTAAAGAAGCAACTGGTTTTCATAATTAAGCTTGCTGTTGTAAAGGGGAGGAAATGAGGAACTATGCTAAGTGAGCCTAGCAAGAAAGAAAAAGTGACACGGGCACCCACATCTTAGGGCAAAAGAGATTCTAAAAAACATTGTTCTCTAAAATTGAACTGATCGTGAGGGTGCGTAATTTCCTGCAACATTCTCTTTCTAAAAATGGCGTGAGAATGAGAGCTGCCATTACCTGGAAAAATGACGAGTTAGTGACTAGGAAAATGCAGACTATTTTTACCTGGTATGGACATAGGATTACACTGTAGAATCCAATAAGCAGCTTTTCTTAAGAAGCTTAAGATTCTTATGAGATGGGAATCTTTTTGTGTCTTTGGATTAATTCCTGCTTTCCACCCTTCACATTTGGCGTTGGCTCATTACCCAGCCCCAGTGTTTATTCCAATCCCGGTGTTTGCGATTGTGATCCTTTAAATCCTTATTATTTTCTTGGGAGATACCTTAAATTCTGTACTCTCAAACTCAGTTTTAGATGAGGAAGTAGCTATTTGTATACTTATGCTTATACTACTGTGTATTCCTGGATCTAAAATTCATTTTTAAATTGACTTTATTGGTGTACTTTTGATATACATAGTGATTGCATTCATCATAGGGAGTTTGTACCTATACATGATATATCTTGTTTCTTCTTTTTTCCCCATTTCCCTCCCTCTCTTTAATCCTTCTTCTCCTCCTTATTTACAAAAGCTTTGTTTCCATTTTTCCTTTTATTCTCTTTTTTCCTTTTCCCTTCCTTCCCTTCTCCTCCCCCTCTCTTGTTCTCCTCCCATTTGAGCATTTGCTTCTTACTTCCCAATATGTATCATCCATTTGGGTCCTTATTTGTGCTTTTGGTTTCTCACATATGAAAAACAATGTGATATTTAAGCATGTGTATCCAATTTATTTCACTTAAAATTGTGGTCTTAAGGTGCATCCATTTACATAAAAATGTCTCAAATTTATCCTTCTGTATGGCTGAGTAGTATTCCATTGTACATAAAAACCCATATTCTTTACCCATTCATCCGCTGATGGGCATCAGGTCTGCTTCCAAGATTTTGCTATTCCACATTGTGATGCTATAAACATGGGTGTGCATATATTGCTAAGGTATGATGCTTCTAACTCTTTTGGAAAGATATTTAGAAGGGGAATAGCTGGGGTCAAATGGAACTTCTAATTTCAGTTTTTTGAGGAATCTCCATAATGATTTCCATAGTGGTTGCACCAGTCTACACTTCCACCAACAGTGGAGAAGAGCTCCTTTTTCCTCACAGCCTCAGCAGCATTTGTTATTGTTGATTTCTTGGTGATAGCCATTCTTTCTGGGGGGATGGAATCTCATTGTGATTTTAATTTACATCTCTCGAATGACCAGTGATACTGAACATTTTTCATGTATTTATTTACTGTTCATACTTCTTCATCTGAGAAGTGTCTATTCATTTTAGATGCTCATTTTTGTACTGGGACTTTAAATTTGGAGGATTTGGGTTTTTTTTGTTTTTTTGTTTGTTCGTTTGTTTTGGTTTTGGTTTTTCTCCGGTACCGGGAACCAAACTCACAACCTTGCGCTTGCCAGGCAGGCGCTTTGCCGCTGAGCTAAATCCCCAGCCCCAGGATTTGGGTTTTTTGAGTTCTTTATATATTCTGGATATTACTTCTTTGTCTGAAGAGCAGCTAGTAAATTTTTTCCCCATTCTGTGGGTTGTCTCTTCATTCTGTTGAGTCCAGGTCAATTGCAAAGAAGGGCTGGTCGACAGGTACCAATTGAAGGCAGAAGAAGGTATTTTTTAGATCCAGGCATGTGTACCAGCAGGTTATGGATGGCAAAAGACTGAGGCAATGTGTCTGGAGGGCAATTGTGGCAACATTGTCAGCCTCGAGATCTTGAACTGGTTTTACAGGTTGGAGAGGTATGTTTTAGCAGTTTAACAGTCTACACTGTTTGCCCAGGGGACTGTGACAGAGGTGAAAGGGACAGAGAAACCTCGGGGGAAAGGTGCTGGTGGCTTGGCCAAATCTGTTGTTAGAGTCTCCCCCCAAATAGTGGGAGAGTTCTTAACCTCTTATGGCAATTGAGTCCAACTGAGCTGGCCTTTTGTCTCAGGATCTTCCCAGTTGAAGGGGCTCATGGGAGCAACTCACAAGCAAAGGAAGGCATCTTTTAAATCTAGAACAGTTCAAAGAGGGTGTATGGGTCAGGAACTGCAGAGTGCAAGGTGATGGCTGCATTGTTGATGGCACAGAGATCTGGCCCAAGGTGATTAACAATCTGTCAGGCTCATGTGTGACCGGACACCTGTTTGTGCTCCCCAAGACAGCAATGGGGGGGAAGATGTGGTGAGGTGGCATGGTTGATGGCCAGGCCTGGAGGCAAGCCCTTAGTTCTTACTTCTGGGAGGAGAGCTTTCAGAACTTTAGGATTGCGGTTATCTGTCTCAGGCTGATGCAGGCATCATCTTCCTTTCAGGTAACAGTCAAAGTTAAAATGAGAGGGTTAAGTGAGGAGGCTGACTGGCTTGGTGCAAAGGAGACAGCTGCTTCTAACTTGAAGAGGTGGTCTTTCCCAGAAGTGGTATGGCGACTGGCTTATACAGGAATTCCTGTTTTGTGAGATGTCCTCCTAGGCTGCAAGTTTGTGCCAGTCTGAAGGGGCAAGAGGCAAGAGTCCTAGTTTCTCTGCTGATGGTAACTTTTTGACAGAGGTAACTTTTGAAGGCAGAGAGTTCTGTTCCATTGTCTCACAGGAAAGTCACAGGTTTGCCCCTAACTTTTGTAATGCCCATGGGCTCTTGGGGACCCAATTTGACAGAGCTCAGTCTGTCCTATCTGTTCAGGCCTGACAGGGTGAAACTCATTTGTCAGGGCTGACATCCAATTTTTCCTCAGTCAAAATGTGGAACTCAGCAGGAACTGTTGGCACTCATCTCAGGTGGACATTAGATGATGCCATCTGACCATGATAGGTGTAGCCATTGTGAAGCAGAAGGTTTGGAGGAGGGCCCCTGTGGCCGAATGTGGACAGTGGCTAGCTAGAATCAGTTCAATTGGCTGGAATTCTCAGGAAGAATGGGCCTCTTTTTCCTTCTTTTTTTTCTTTGAGACACAGGGAGTGGTTTGGTTTCATTTTTAACTCAGGAAAAGCCCTGTTTTTCTGTAGTCAGGGACTGTGGGTTTTAACTAATTAATTCCCATCTCTGACTTCTGACATGTGTGTTTTGTACCCTTGAATGATGGTGCAACAGATAAAGGATTGGTGCCCCTCAGAGAGAGAGAGAGAGAGAGAGAGAGAGAGAGAGAGAGAGAGAGGGAGGGAGGGAGACCATTCAGATGCCTGCCTTTCTGTGCCCCTTGTGGGGATTTAGGCTTAACTTAGCTAAGGAGAGTGTGAGATCTCCGTTATGCCATGTGTCGATCACCACAGAACTGCAGGTGAGGGCCCAGTCAGCTCTCATGACCAGGACTTGCCAGTCTTGGTACACAGATGGAGAAGCCTATTGCTTCTGTTATCCGTTCCACTTACACAATCATTCAGCAGGAACTCAGAGGTTAAATATTCTTATCCCCCTTCCCTTGAGGGTGGCCTTAACTAAGAAGAGTTGATTAAACTCTTATGCTGGAGCTGAGTAGGACTTTTCTGCTGGACTGAGTAACTGAGGTGCCCTCAGGGGTCTTACTGGAATCAGGCAGGCAGGCAGGCAGGCAGATTGTGTCCTCCTCCCTTCTGGGTCCAATATGAGCCACTTAAGCGAGGAGCCAGGAATCCTCCTCCAGACCTCTGAGGGGACTTGAGAAATCTTGAGGACTTGCCTTCCTGTTGGGATCTGGAGAGGTCCTTGCTCTGTCTGTGAGGGCCACGACCAATGACCAAAGACGTCAGCATGATTAGTCTTCCCAGCTGATGCACCAGATGCAATGGCAAACAGAAACACGGAAATGACACCCAATATTTGGAGACAGACTTATTTTATGTCAGTGGGCACTGACTGGGATTACTCCCAAAATATAAGGCCCTGATCGCTGATGTCTGGGGTTATCTTATGTCTAAGATAAGCAAGTATGAAGTACAGAGGCAGAATGGCTTGTCAGTTTGGGATTGGTTTATACAATGTGCATCACAGTGACCAGCCATTTCTAAGAGACTAGAAGCAACTAGAACTGGAACAGGAACTATTACCCAGGCAACTAAAACAACTGAAGTATACTGGCAGGGTGGGTGTACTTTCTGTTACAGAACTGGATAAACAGTTTCAGAACTGAACAAAGTATGGGTGAAGAGCCATTACTTAACAGGTCCTAAATCTCAGAAATAGGACATGCTGTACAGTGAATGCATTAGGCGTGCCTGACACCAGTGCACAAAGTAAAAGACTCAGAAGTTTACAAGAGTTGAAAACTCTGGGACAGACACACACCAGCATTGTGGGATATGAGCATCAAGTCATTAGCTGGTTCCAGGCTGATCTTAGCTAGGCTGGGCCTGAAAGGTGAAGCAAACAACCAGAAGGTCCTGAAGAAGAGACAAGGGCAAAGACAGGGAAGTACTGCTCACCTGGGATACCAAATGTGAAATTTTCAAATTGATATCCTGGGTCTGGATTTCCTTTCAAATTCTGGACCTTCTGTGTAAACTTTCCATTGTAAGCCAGCAGCCAGTGTCTGAAGCCACGTGTGTCCTCTTTCTCCCCAAATCAATGTGACTTTCTTTACGTATACACTCAGTTTGTCCTTTACCATCTAGAAACTTCAGGCGTCTCCCTTTAATCTTTCCCATCTATTGGCCACATAGACTTTCTCATCAGTCTCTCTCTCACCGAAGGCCCCCAATATTACCTCACAAATCCAGTGTGGGCGGTGTCTCTGTTTCTGATGACGTTCTCCTCTATCTGAGCAGCCCACTGCCCTGCTTCTAAACATCCTATGGTTCTTTCCGCAGAAACCATGTGCAACTCATCAACAACTTTGAGATAAAGGCCAGACTGCATTCTGGCTCTAGCCTACCTTGCTGGATCCAGCTTACTTTTTACCTCACTTGTTTTCCTAATTCTACATACCCTTCAATACCTGTACATTTTCTTTTTTTTTTTTTTTTTTTTTTTTTTTTTTTTTTTTTTTTTTGGTTTTTCTCCGGTACCAGGAACCGAACTCACGACCTTGCGCTTGCCAGGCAGGCGCTTTTGCCACTGAGCTAAATCCCCAGCCCCAATACCTGTACATTTTCATCTTCTCAGAAGCCTTTCCACACCAGTCCTGCCCTTTATTCATTTCCTGGACTCCTGAAATGCTCCTGGATGCTCTTTTTTGTCAATTCACCACACTTCTTTCAGGGTAAAACTGCTGATAGACACAGGGTTGTAAAACTGTGTTGCTGGAACGACTCTTACTGTTTAGTTCACATAGGCCAGTGTTTTCATTTTATAATTAAGAGACTTGTCCAAGGTCATGTGGCTAAAGAGTGGCAGTCAGAGACTGAACACATATAGCCTCATCGCTAGCCTAGTACTCATTCTTTTTGTTCATACTTATCTCCTTTAATGCTATGTTCTTATTTAAACTTTGAACTGTTTTGTGTTTAGCATGAGTGTGCATATGTCGTTGGATATTCTCGTTTTCCTCCAGAGAGCCAAGTAGTAGGTCTCCAATTCAGCAAACACTTACTGAGTTTCAGCTGTGTACCATGTGCCCACAATATGAGGATGAATAAACATGTACCTTACTTTTGAGAAGCTTAATTTAAAAATTTTTTAATTTTTTATTTTTTTAGTTTAATAGTTTTACTGTAGTGTGGTGATAGAAATATATGTCGAGTGCTATGAAGGATAAGGTAGATTCCTCAGTGAGACAAGGCAATAAAGGATGTGATAAAAACTGAACTGGAAATACTTCTTGTAATGGAAGGTGGAATACTACATTTCATTTTTATAATTAAATAAAGCAAAAAAAAAGCTATCTAAGTTTATCTAAGATTTGTGTTTTAGTTGAGTTAGCCAAGATGCTCAGAAAGAAAGGGGCATGCCTAAGGATTATTGACTTTGCTAAGACTGTGGTAGATAAAGAACACCTTGTATCTCTTTTTTGTCCATCTAACATCAGTTGCATCAGAAGAACCAGATACAGAAGTCTCTGTCAGTAGTCGATCAGAAGAGATGGAAGATATCCCAAAAGAATGTGAAAATGTTTCCAATTTGGTGGCATTTGAAAACCTCAAGGCACACGTGACTGACATGATGTTAACCTTGTTAGTGGAGAATGTAAGTGGCCTGACCAGCGATGACTTTCATGTGGAAGTAATACGAGATTTTGATGTTGCTGTGGTTACCTTTAAAAAACATACAGGTAAGCTCAAGCGACATTTCCTTTGCACCACACCTGGAGTTTTGGGATACTCAATTAATAGAACATCTGGCAGAGCCTGGCTTTTTGTGGTAGCAGTAAAAGAGGCCCCCAAGTTAATATAGATGTTTTTCTTTCTTTTTTTTTTTTTTTTTTTTTTTTTTTTTTTTTTGGTTTTTCTCCGGTACCGGGAACCGAACTCACGACCTTGCGCTTGCCAGGCAGGCGCTTTTGCCGCTGAGCTAAATCCCCAGCCCCTTCTTTCTTTTTTTGAAACAGAAGCAAATAAGTTTTGAAAATAAATTCTGGTATGCTTAATAGATTGAGCTTTAGTGCTCAATCATGTTTGTGTGTGTGTGTGTGTGTGTGTGTGAGAGAGAGAGAGAGAGAGAGAGAGAGGGAGGGAGGGAGGGAGGGGTAGAGAGAGATTCAAATAGAAACCTAAAGTCTTTATTTGGAGTCAGCGTTTTCATGAATTATCTCATTGGGAAGAGTACACATTGGTGTTTCCAAACTGGATTCACTGGACAATAATGACAAAATAATAACAAACACTCATGTAGTGCTTACAATAAATCAGGTACTATGCTAAGCTTTTTATATGTATTAAATGATTTCTCCCTTTCAGTAACCTTATGAGGTTGTGTGATTACTCTTATTACCCTCAGTATACACTTGAGTTGAGAGAGGCACAAAAATTCTAATAAGTGGAAGATCTGGATTTGAACCCAAGCAGTGTACTTCTAAAGCCTATTCTCTTATCCACTTTACCACTTTTCTCTTTAGTACTTTGATGGTCATTCACATTTGCAGGCATGAGAAATTGCATGTGATAATAGTGAATAAGTGTTCTTAAGGGTCATTGTCAGGAGAGGAATTATCCTCACCTAAAACAAGGAAATTTTGCAGATCTGAGTCCTCATTAGCCCATGGTCATGGCTATGGAATGGTCAATCAAGAACAGAGATCATGGAGTCGAAATTCTAGCTCTGCCGCTTAACTAGTTACACAAGGCTTGCCAACGTACTATCCTCTGTGCACCTCACTTTCTTTACCTATAAAATGGGGATAAGGTTAGGGAGGTAGTTCAGTGGCAGAGAAGTTGCCTAGCATGTAAGAGCCCCTGGGTTTGATTTCCAGCATCAAAATAAAATAAAATGAAGATGATAATGCCTACTAAAGTTTCTGTAAGATTAAGTGAGATAATGTTTGAAAGGCACTTAGCATAGTACCTGAGACATGGTAAGGACTTAATAAATGGAGTTATTCTTATTTCAAGTTTATTGCTATTATTATTTTAGTTTTTGAGACAAGGTCTTGCTATGTAGTATAGTATAGCTTTGAACTCACTATGTAGCCCAGGCTGGGCTACGTGTGACTCCCTTGCCTCAAACTTGTGACTCTCCTGCCTCAGTCTCCTAAGTGCTGGTATTACAGATGTGTACCACCACTCCTGGAAAGTTTATCATTATTTCTAATAGGGGGAATCTAAATGGCTTTGGTTTTTGTTCACTGGTCAAAAATCCTGAATATCTAATATATTAATCAGCTTCCAATTACTGGAAGAAATACCTGAAAAGAAAAGGATTATTCTGGCTCAGTTTTGGAGGGTTAAGTCCATGGTGGGTTGGTCTACTTGCTTTTGGGCTGGCCTTGCTGCTTTGGGCCTGTGGCCAAGCAGCACACCTCGGTGGCAGCACATGACAAAACTGTCCACCTTGCGGCCAAAACAGCAGAAGGAGGGGTCAGAATCCCACTGTCCTCTGCCTCTCCACCCAATAGCTGGAAAACTTCTTGCTAGGTCCCACTTCTTAAAGGTTCTGCCACCTCCCAATAATGCCAAGCTGGGACCAAGCCTTTAACAAATGAACTTCTGGGACACATGCTGATCCAAACTGTGGAAGCCACTATTGTATGTGCCAGGCACTGGACTAGGTGCCATGAGTGTGAACATGAGTAAATTGTAGTTCCTGCTTTTGAGAACCTCAAGCCTGTATGTAAATGAATAATGAAGGTGGAAGGGGAGAAGCTGTGTCTCTCAGCTGTGAGACAAGCTATGGAAAAGAGGAGGAAAGGAGACTGAGTGACTTCATCTCACTCCTGTGAGGGCTATACTGAAGCAATACCATGCCCTTTCTATCTGGAAGGCCCTCTTTATTCTTCCAAACCCAAATCTCTCTCTCTCTCTCTCTCACACACACACACATGCACACACATGTGCACACACATACACACAGACCACACAAGCATACACAAGCCACACAAACACATGCACATGCACAACAAAACAAACAGAAATCACCCCAAATAATTTTCTGATATTTTTTCTTTTGTAGACACTATGAAATTTATTTATGATTGTGCCAGACACCGTTCAATGCAACAGCTTCAATTGTCTCCAAGACATCTGGAAGAGACAAAAACAATCCGGGTTGAAAACCTGCCCCCTGGTGTTGATGACTACCAGTTACAACTTTTCTTTGAAAATCCTTTCCACGGAGGGGGAAGAGTGGCCCATGTTCAATGTTTTCCTGAAGAGAGTTCAGCTCTGATTGAATTTTGCGACAGAAAAGGTAGTATCCCTTAGCCTACCATCCTGGGCATAATCTGGGTCATTTGAAGCAGATCCTGGTAGTTGGTTAAATTCTGATGCATTTTACTTGCTGATTCATATATTGGAAATGGAGTTAATCATATGTCCTTCTGGAATATGATGCGTAATGAGGCCAGTTATTAAAATTTTGGAGACGTTCCCAAGGTTTTGAAACATAAAGGAGATTCTCTCATGAGTCTCCACCTAATGGACTGGAAAATATTATCATTCTCGAAACCTTTCAAATACTGCATTTAGAAAGAGATGATCTGTACATTAACCCTCCACATAAATGTCAAATTAATTTCAGCAAGTTTCAGTAAAGACACATATGTGGCTCCTATAAAGTGCTCCTCCTTCCCCCTTTACCTGCCAGGGTCCTCATCCAGCGCATGTTCTTTACACTGCAACTTTAGGGCATTTAAGCTGCTATCTTTGGTAGTTCTTAGTTCAACAAAAGTTCAAATCCTGGTTTTGGTGTTTACTAGATTTGTGATCTTGGATAAGTTACTTTAACCACCAAAACCTCTGTTCTCTCATCTAGAAAGTAGGTATGACATTTCTGTTACCTTATGAGAATATTGTGAAGTAACAGATGCAAAGTGCTCTGCACTTGGTGCTCAAAACGTGCTAGTGGTCACTGGTACTGCCCAGCTGCAGAGCCCTAAAGACTATGGTGAGAAGCTGGATCTATATCTTTGGCCTCTGAAGATCACATTCTTTCCATCATGCCTGACACCACCCTGAGGAAGCAAGCACACACAATGAAGTTATTTTTAACATCTTTTTCATCACGGATACTATTTTAATGCAACTTGTTAGTGGTTCTCATTAGGGAATCATTCTGATTCCCTTCCTGATGTTGTCCCTTGTACCTGCCTAACAATACAGAATGAAGAGTGGCTTAGAGGAGGAGAAGAGTACACAGCACACACACATAGATGCACCCATACACATAGACACACACACACATACACACACGAGGGGCTGTCTCAGTACATGTTGCAGGAAGGAGATTGTAGCAGGGATGGAGGGAGGTGTAGCCTGTGGGACTAGGCTCCCAGAGGACTTTGCAGATGCCTCTATTTTATCATTTTATCCAAAGGGCTCATAATCATAGCCTCTCTACCCCAAAGGGTTGTTGTGAATATTAAATGAATTGAATTCGTGTGAAGCACCACTTACAGTGGTGTCTGGTACATGGTAAGGTATTACAATTATCCTTCTCCTTGTGAAGATATTAATGGAATTTAAGTCAACTACTGAAGCTAAAACTGTGGGAATGTAGAAGAGGGAAAAACCAGCATGCTACTCAAACAAGCTTTACTTTGAACGCCAAAATATTCTTTTTTTTTTTTTTTAAATTTCAAAGAGAGTAGTAAATGAGAAACAAACAAACAAAGAAATAGAACAGTATCAGCATACCAGTATCACAAACATAAACAAATCAAAGCAAGAACATTCAAAGTGATACAGCATCTCAAGACAAAATAATATGAATCAACAGTGGTTGTTACATTATATATCGTTATCCTCACCTGCATTGCCCAAATATTCTTCACACTGCAACCAACATCATTTCCTTGATTTTGGCCAAACTCATATCCATTTCTTAGTGTGGCGGCAATATCCATGCTATCAGAAAAACAAAAAACAGAGTTTAACAGAATTTTAACTTGACTCAGCTGTAAAGTAATTGTTGCATTAAATAGAGGCTACCCGTGCACTGTTAATATATGTCAAACTGTAGTTGAGCACTTTGGAAGTAGAGCTGCCTTTTAATAATATATCATCAAAGTTCTACAAACAATAAAATTTATTTTCCTGTAGAATGGGAGAGTTTTGTTTTGTTTTCATTGCAAATATATAACATTGCAGTCACCTTATTTTCATTTTTTTATTTATTTTGCTCTTCAAGTGTTAGATACCATCCTGACCAAGAAACACAGCTTCAATAAGATGCCGCTCTCTGTCTTCCCCTACTATCCCTGTTTGGGCACAGCCTTGTATGGAGAGGAACAGCCTCTGATCAAGCTGCCAGCGCCATTCCAGGAGTCACTGGCGCTGCCTGTGTGGAAGTTCTTTCAGAAAAAGGTCCACTTGAGTAAGGAGCTGGATGATGAAATGAGACGTCATCACTGTACGCTAACATGGTCCCAAGCCGACAGTAAAGTTATCATCAGACCTGCAGCCACCTTAGCCAGTCAAGGAAGACCAAAAATCAAGACATGGCAAAAAGATGCTTCTACAGCACTCTCTGGCATCAGGTCTAAATATGCAGTTACTTCATTTAAGGTGACTCCAGTAGTATGGGACACCATAAAAAATGACTTAGAAGATGACAGGATTTTGATTGAGTTTGATACATGTGAGGAGATTGTAACCTTAGCAGGAAAATCAGAAGATATCCACAATGTTAGCCCACAAATCAAAGAATTAATAGAAAGGACAACTCAAAAAATTCAAAAGGAAGAGCAAAGTCTGAAGGAAAAAGTGCCCATTTCTTCAGAAAAGTATTTTCTTTTGTACCACAGTGGTGTTCTGGAGCATGCGTGCACGGAGTGCCCAGAGGTAGAGACTTGGTACGATGCAGGCACTCAGAACCTGCACCTTAAAGGACCCCCCTCAGATGTGTACAAAGTCATGTGTGAAATCCAGGCAAAAGTGTACACTATGGCGAAGAAAACCATTGAGGTCTCTCCTGAGGTCTTCCAGTTTTTGCAGCAAGTAAACCCCAAAGAATTCTCTAAGTCTTTTTTTATAGAACAAAAAAACCTTACAGTTTATGAGCTCAAGGATACAACTGTCGTCTTAACCAGCTGTTCTTCTGAAGTCCTAGGAGAAGCTGAAAAGCAAATGTGCAGTGCCTTAGATTATAAACGCATTGAAGTTGAGGACAAGGAAGTTCTTACTACCAACAAATGGAAAAAGTTCATTGGCAATGTCCAAAAAAAATCTAATTCCTCCACAAACATTAGGGTACTCAATGAGTCAACCGCAGGAAGCCCAGGTGAAGTCATTGTGACAGGCCTTGTGAAAGAAATCAATGAAATCAGTAGCTTGATTTTTGAATTCTTGGAAAAAAACATGAAAATAGAGAGATTGATTGAAATAGAGACATCCATGGTTGCAAACTATTTAAGAGCAGAAAAGAAGCCACTCTGGTCAAAACTGAAGAAGGGGGATATGCAGGTAGTTTTCAATCCAGAGAACAAACAAAAAGGCATTTTACTAGTTGGTTCCAAGCGCCAAGTGCTAGAGAGTATGGATGTAGTCAAGGAAGCCGTGAAGTCTGTCTTTGTGAAAGGAGTCTGCATCGACAAGCCAGGAGCCAGGCAGTTCTTCCAAGACAAAGCATCGTTTTGCAGAGGTGAGGTCAGGAAGTCATTTGGTTGTTTCATCGAACTCCTGGAGAATGAAGAAGAGGTAGGAGGCAAAACTCATGGGCCAAAGTACTTCATCCGGCGGGAGGTGGCCCCTGGCATCATCCTGATGGCCCAGCAGGGTGACTTGACTCAGTTTCCTGTTGATGTGGTGGTGAATGCAGCAAACGAGGACCTCAAGCATTTTGCTGGCCTTGCTGCTGCCCTCTCAAAGGCAGCTGGCCCGGAACTCCAAGCAGACTGTGAACAGCTAGTGAAGAGAGATGGTCGGCTCCTACCGGGCTGTGCCATCCTCACAAAGGCAGGGAAGCTACCTTGCAGCCACGTGATCCACGCCGTAGGGCCCCGGTGGGTTGAAAATGAAGCCCCGAGGTGCGTGTACCTGTTAAAGAAAGCTGTGGAAAATAGTCTTCTTTTAGCAGAAAAACACAAGTGCCAATCCATAGCCATTCCCGCAATTAGTTCTGGAGTCTTTGGCTTCCCCTTACAGCGGTGTGTGGAGTCCATTGTTCTGTCCATCAAGGAAAACTTCCAACATAGGCGGGATGGACGCACCTTGAAGGAGATTTATCTTGTGGACTCATTGGAGAAGACAGCAGAGGCTTTTGCCAAAGCTGTGGAAACTGTATTTAAATACCCTCTGCCCAAGAGTGCGGCCCAGCCTGATACAGTGGCCCAGCCTGATACAGCGTCCCAGCCAGATACGACTTCCCTGCCTAGAGGACCAGCAGCAAAACCTGTAACAGCATCACAGGAAGTGGCGTGTCTGAAAACCCCAGGAGGCCTGAAGATCCTGCTAGTGAAAAAGGGAGTGCAGGATGCTACGGTGAGTGTCCTTTCGCTCAGATCACCACCCAGGTGCTGCGGTGCATTTCCCTAATACCTAATGATGGCGAACATCTTTTCATGTTGAACACCTTTTTGGATGTTTACATATCTTCTTTGAAGAAATGTCTATTTAGATCCTTTGTTTGCCTTTACATTGGGGGATTTCTTTGTTATTGAGTTCTTTATACATTTTGGGTACCGGTTTTCTTATACAATATCTGAATTGCAAATATTTTATCCTATTTTATGGACCAAGTTTTCTCCTATTCTTTTGTACAAGATGTTACTTTTTTAAAAAACATACTTTTTCTCTTAGTTTAAAATAGTGAGCTAAAAGATTAATTAGATTTTGTTTTACAAGAAGCTTAAGTAAGGGGCTGGGGATTTAGCTCAGCGGCCAAGCGCCTGCCTGGCAAGCGCAAGGTCGTGAGTTCGGTTCCCGGTACCGGAGAAAAACCAAAAAAAAAGAAGCTTAAGTAACAATGACAAGGGCCACAGCTAACATGGATTATTACTTTGTGCCAGGCACAGTGCAGAGTGCTCAGCATACATTCTCTCATTTGGAGCCATGAAGTAGTCTGTAGGATGAGTATTCTCATGCACAGGTGAGGGAATGAGATTTAGAGGCTTTAGGTAGTCTGCCCAAGTCCCATAGCTAGCCGTTGGTAAGACAGGAGTTTATTCTGGCTCTTGACCACTGCACTAATTTAAAATATTAAAATAACTTGTTTTTCATGTTTAAAAACCAAACAAATGCAATGCTCTTTTAAATAAGAGTCGGGAGCAGGAATAGGTACTATTTCTAACCCCCTTGACACTGAATACTAGTGGAAATTATTCATATTGATATTAGTAACGGACTGTAGCGTTTACTGCTTGGTGACTCACACGGGCCACATCACATTTCTTCTCTCTACTCCTGGATTCTCTAACACAGCCTGATTAATCTGCTCACATGCTCTCTCTGATGCCAAAGCTTCCACAGCTGCTCAGTGACTGTGTGGCATCCAGGTGGCTTGGCGCCTGAAGTGCCACCGGGGGTAACATATCTAGCCCAGTTGGCACCGTTTTACTGCAGAAGCTCTCAATCAGGGCAAATTAATCTGCTCACAGCTCACAGTCTACCATGAGTATGTTCACGCTTTTCCCTGGTGCTGTCTGCCTGCTGCAACTACTCCCATTTCTCAGGCCCCACAACACCCACGGCATCTTCATCAGCTACTCTGGGGCTTTCCTCTGGGCTCCTCTGGCGATCCCATACCACTGAGAGATTTTGACAGCTCTCCCTCATTCTGGAATGTTTCTCAAATAAGTATTAATAACACTTTGTCCTGGGGGCTGGGGATTTAGCTCAGCGGCAAAGCACCTGCCTGGCAAGCACAAGGTCGTGAGTTCGGTTCCCGGTACCGGAGAAAAACCAAAAAAAAAAAAAAAAAACAAAAACAAAAAAACACTTTGTCCTGGGTTAGTAGTTCAGTCTCCAAAACCTTAACCATTTTAATTGCCTCTCATTACATCAAGCCCAGCAGCTCACATGTAGTTATCATTGATGAATGAGTGCCTGTGTTAGAATTTGAAACTAATCTTTGGTTTTGTCCTTAAGACCCATGTTGTTGTCAACTCCATCCCGTCGGATCTTTCACTCAACCAAGGGCCCCTGTGTCGGGCCCTTTTGGAAAAAGCTGGACCAGAGCTCCAGCAGGAGTTGGACAAAGCCGGACAAGGGGTAACCGCCAACGTGGGCACAATGCTCCAAACCAGTGGTTGCAATCTTCAGTGCGACCGTGTGCTTCACGTGGTGGCTCCACCATGGAAAAATGACAACACGGCACAAAAGGTAGGGGCTAGTTTTAAACTCCCCAGGGGGTGGGTGAGCCCTTTGGACTCTTCTTTCAGCGTACTACAGTTTACATCCTATTTCTCTTCTGCCAACTTTTGGCACATTCTATCATTGTGGCCATTTCTTTGAGCTGTAGTTGACTTTGGAGGACTAGCTAATAGTATGGCTGGATTGCTGTGTTCTTAGTTAGTGGGGGTCAGGGGTTGGGGAAGGGTTGAACAGTGTATTGCTTCAGTGAGAAAAGGGACCTGAGGGCCTGAGGGTGGGAGACAGTGAAGGGACAGAGCAGTAGTTGCTTTCTTGTTTGCTGCATGGTAGAGGGGCGGAGTGGGTTTTGAATAATTTTTGAGTGTCTCTCATACTCTCTTCTTCTTTTCCTGTATTTTTCTTTCTTCTTCTGATTACCTTTAACCTCTGTAGAAAGTGAAATGGAGTGGACAGAGATCACAGTCAAAGTTGCCAGATTCTTGTTCTTTTGGTTCTGACTCTCATTTCTAGGCAGTATGTATAAGGATGTGCTTTGTGCCTTTCAGATCATGAAAAACATAATCAGAGACTGTTTGGAGATCACTGAGAGGCTGTCTTTTCAATCAATTGCATTTCCAGCCATTGGAACAGGAAATTTGGGATTTCCTAAGACCATATTTGCCGAATTAATACTTTCAGAAGTGCTTACATTTAGTAGCAAAAAGCAGCTGAAAACTTTACAAGAAGTTCACTTTCTGCTGCATCCAAGTGATCATGAAAATATTCAGGTAAGGTCTGCACTGATTTCTGACTATTCTGGCAACCTTGGTTTGGAGCCCGATGTTGTCAAATATGTTCTTGATCAGATAGAATGCTTCTTTCATGTACTCTTCAGACAGGAATGTAAGAGAATAGTATTGACTAGTTTTAGCATGAAAAGTCTCAAGGAAAATTATGGATATAGAAAAAATTTAACTTCTTATTCCCACAAATTCCAAACACACACAAAAATAGATATACTTTAGCAATTTATTTCAAAGAACAAGATTGTTTTTGAAAGAGTAACAACCACAATACTGTATCATGTCTAAAATAAGTTGAGTGTAATTCTTTTACTTGATAGTAGAGTCAGTGTTTCACAGGGACATGGAAAATTTAATACATATTATTAAAGTGTAGTTGTGGCCCTGTCAATGGGAAAAGGATGGGATACAAGTGCTTCTGGTTTCCATGGCTGGGAATAAAGTAGACTGTAGGTGAAGGATGTGGGCAGAATGAGTGGAAACATCTCCATGTGAGCAGGAGAGTCAGGACCAGAAGTCCATCTCCAGTCTGTCAAGTTAGCTTATGTTTCCGGAACATCAGCTGTGGGCGAGCCACTGGAGTTGATATCATGGGAGCAGCAGAGGCATGTAAGCCCTCATTCCTGCCCTCCAAATTTTTAAAATCCAGTAGGGTAGATGGCACTGACTGTTTGGAATTCTGTGATATTGCAGAAATCTAACAGATTGGAGCAGGCAGCCTGAGATGTCCATGGATCGATCATTGGACCATCTGAATTTTTAGGTCATACTATTTCTTTTTTTCCTGGATCTAGACACTACCTCTAAGTTCCAAGGAAGCAAGTAAATCTAGCCTACATCTTACTCAGGCAGACACACCACCTGAGTAAAATATATAGTCCATTTACTTGGCCTGTATAATTACAACTACTTCTACTCAATAAAGGAGTTTTAGCAGTTTCCCTCTGAGGATGTAATGTGACTCATGGAACAAGGATGTAGCATGTACTTTCCCTCCTATAAATCATAATTACTTTGGGAGATAAGCTCTATACACACAAAGCAACTAAACTAGAGACATGCACTGCTGAGAATTTTTGAATGAATGGCTGGATAGATGGGGTGTAAGTTCTGTGACTCAGCCCTGAACCTTGAATCTCAGTTTTCTAAGCAGCCCCAGGCTTCATTTTCTTTCCTTATTACTGAGTACTCTGCAAGTATTCTGCAAAAAGATTAGTTTTTATATTTGCCTTAAATGTTATTCAAAAATACTATGACAGGCTGGGTGTGGTGGTGCACGCCAGAATTGGAAGGCTTAGGCAAGAGGATCAATGTGACTTCGAGGCCAGCCTGGGCTACAAAGTGAGTTCACCACCAGCCTGAACTGCACAATAAGACCCTGTCTCAAAACAGACCAAATAGTGCTACTACTACTATGACTTCTCTATATGTGGCTATTACACATTTAAGATTTTTTAAAGATCAGCAAAACTTATTGAGATGTTTATAAGTGGAGGCCTAATGGAGCTTACAGAACAGTATCTGGTGGTGTCACTATGGTGTCAAGATGTGATTTATTTGGGCTATTTATAAAATTTTTTTGAATCAGTTGTTAATGTTTAAAAATTTAAAATTTTACATAAAACTCTAGATGTCCAAAAATGATGTGACCTAAAGACTCCAATACTCTGGCGCACTGGGGCTCAAACATGTGGAACCTTGAGCTTGTCTTTCTCTTAATGCTGTTTTTTACAAATTGGCAAGTTATTTGCTTTTACTGATTGTGAAGATCATACATTTTCATTGCAGGAACTTTGAACAATACCAAAAAAATATGTACGTTCTTTAGTTGCCTCTCATCCCAGTCTTTGCTACAAGTGTACTTTTAAAAGTAGGATTATATAATATAGAATTCGTGGGTTTTTTTTCTAAATTGTGTATACAGGCTCTAAAGCCCTCATGAGTCTAATTCATTCATTAGCTGAGGAGTGTAATTGTTGACACTGTGTTTGTTTCCAGGCATTTTCAGACGAATTTGCCAGAAGAACTAGTGGAAATGTTAATGACCAAATTCCCAAAGCTGAAGATAAGCAAGGTTCGCCAAAACTTTTAAATTGACAAATGATTTCTCATTGCTAAGTATTTGGTGACAGGTAAAAGATGACAGTGATGATGTTTTTGAAAAAAGAATTGAGTGATAAATAATGCACTAAATTATGTTCCATACACCTGAGCAGATTTGTATGACCTAGGGCAAAAGAGAAGGTTGACCAAGTTGTATACACAAACACTGTGTTTTTAAAGAGTGGTGAGATCACAACTTTCAAAGGATAATACAATATATATTTTCCAAAATAGACACATTGAGACATAATACCAACTAAATGTTTCTCTGTCCAATTTACTGTAGCTGCTTTTGGGTTTATCCTATTTGGAGTTCCTTGAAGTTTTGTTTTTAAGATGGGGTCTCACTATGTTGCCCAGGCTGGTCTTGAACTTTTGATCCTCCTGCCTCATCCACCTCCCAGAGTTCTGGTAATACAAGCATGTACCACATTATCCAGCCTTACTGAGGCTTCTCAAATCTCAAAATGTACGTCTTTTATCGGATTTGGGGATTTTTAAATTATGACTCACTCAATTGTTTTATTTTGCCCTGTTCCCGTCCATTTCCTTTGGATAGTCCAGGGGTCATATGGCCAAGAAGCCTCGCAAAATGTTGCCAAGGTCTCTGAGGAGCTGTCCTTCTCCCTGTGCTCAACTGTTTTTCTCTTTTCTTCTGATGGAAAATTTATACTGATTTACCTTCAAGTTCACTAAGTCTTTTGGCTATCCATTATGCTTCTGAACCCAAGCAGTGAAAGTTTAAACTCAGACAGTGTATTTTTAAATTCTAAAGTCTCCATTTGATTCTGTTTTGTATAGCTTTTTTATTATTACATATTTACCATATCTAATGATAATGTTCACCATCGGGAATTTATACCTGTACGCAATATCTCCATTCTTCTTTTTTTCTCCTCCTCCTCCTTTCTCTTTAACCCTTCTTCTCCTCCCCATTTACAGAAGCTTTGTTTCCATTTTTCCCCTTCAGTCTCTCATTTTAAAAAATCCTTTTACCCTTCCAGTCCTTCCCCTTCTCCCCACCGTAGTTCCTCTTCTCATTTGAACATGTTCCTCTTCCTTCCTAGTATCTATTCTCCATTTTGCTCCTTATTTATCTTTTGGGTTTCTCACACAAGAGAAGCAATCCAATATTTAAACTTGTGTGTCTGATTCATGGCACTCAAAATTATGGTCTTGAGGTGCATCCATTTACTTTAGAATGACTCAAGTTTATCCATCTTTATGCCAGAGCAGTACCCTATTGTGTATAAATAACATATTTTCTTTATCTGTTCATCTGTTGATGGGCATATGGGCTATTTCCAAGATTTAGTTATTATAAACTGTGCTGCTTTATGGAGCTCCAGTGGCACAATCAGTTAGCACGTAGTACTTATATAAATTGTGCTGCTATGAGCATGGATATGCATATATCATTATAGTATGATGCTTTTTAACTCTTTTGGGAAGATACCTAGAAGGGGGTTAGCTGGGTCAAATGGAATCTTCAGTATTAGCTTTTTTGAGGAATCTCCATTCTGATTTCCATGGGGGTAGAGGGTTCCTTTTTCTCTACAGCCTCATCAGCATTTGTTATTGGTTGATTTCTTGACAATAGCCATTCTTTCTGGAGTGAGACGGAATCTCAGTGTCATTTTAATTTCAATTTTTTGAATGACCAGTGATGTTGAAATTTTTTCATGTATTTATTTGCTGTTTGTACCTCTTTGTCTGAGAAGTGTACTCATTTCCAATGCCCATTTTTGAATTGCACCTTTAAATTTGTGGGAGGGTTTAGGTTTTTTGAGTTCTTTATGTACTCTAGATATTAGTCCTTTGTCTGAAGAGTAGCTGTAAAAATATTTTTCCAATTCTGTGAGTTGTCTGTTCACTCTGCTGGTGGTTTCTTTTGCTGTGCAAAATCTTTTTAACTTGATATGATCCCAGTTGTTGATTCTTCGTAATATTTCCTGTTCAATCAGAGTTTTGTTCATAAAGTCTTTGCCTACACCTATGTCTTCAAGAGTTTTACCTATTCTGTCTTTCAGAGATTAAGGATTTCTCTTTTTAATACTTACATCTTTGATCCATTTTGATTTTAGATTAGTGCATGGTAAGAGATATGAATCTAGGTCAGTAATAGTGAAGCTTTCAGACTTAGTGTCCAAACTGCAACTCAGAACCACTTATTTATTGCAAAGTGCCAACACTGCAATTAAACCTGAATACTGAGGTTTTAGTTTAGAAAACACACGATGGTGAATTGGCCCTCATGCCACCAGAGAGGGCTCTGCATGCCTGCTGCAGCACACACACCATAGGTTTGCCACCATGGGCCTAGATTCAGTCTTTGGCATGTGGAAAGCCAGTTTCCCCAGCACCATTTATTAAAGAGGCTATATTTCTTCCAATGAATGTGTTTGTTCCCTTTGTCAAAGATGAGGTAGCTGAGTGTGCTTGCAGTTGTTTCTGCATCTTCTAATCTGTTCCATTGATCCCTGGGTTTCTTGTTTTGCCAGTACCATGCTATTTTTATCATAGTAGCTTTGTAGTATAATTTCTTTCTTTTTTTTTTCGGTCCCAGGCATTGAACTCATGAAGTCACACGTGCCAGGCAGGCACTGTGCCACTGAACTATATCCCCGGTCCTTATAGTATAATTTCAAATTGGGGGTTGTGGGGCCCCTTGCCTTGACCTTGTTATGCAGAATTTCTTTTGCTATTTGAGATTTCTTCTGGCTCCATATGAATTTTAAGATTGTTTTCTCTAGCTCTGTGAGGTATGGCATTGGTATTTTGATTGGGATTGCATTAAATCTGTATAACAACTATGAAAGTATGGCCATTTTCACTATATTGGTTCTTCATACCCAAGAGCAAGGGATATCGTTCCATTTTCTGATATCCTCTTCAATCTCCTTTTTCAGAGTACTGTAGTTTTCAATGTAGAGGTCTTTTACTTCTTTGTTAGATTGATTCCTATGTATTTCATTATTTTCTGATAGTATTGTGAAAGGTGTTGTTTCCCTAATTTCTCTGTCAGTGAATTTATTATTTGTGTAGAGGAATGCTATTGATTTTTGAGTATTGACTTTGTATCCTGTTATACCACTGAATTTGGTTATTAAATCTAGAAGTCTTTTGGTGGAATTTTTAGGGTCTTCATGTCATCAGCAAATAATGATCATTTAATTTCTTCCTTTTCCTATCAATATTCCTTTTATTTCTTTTTCTTCTCTAATTGCTCTGGTTAATGCTTCCAGAACTATGTTGAATAGCAGGGGTGACAGTGGACACCCTTGTCTTTTTCCTGATTTTAGAGTGAAAGCTTTCAGTTTTTGGCCATTTAGTATGATGTTGACTGTTATTTTGTCATAGATGGCTTTTATCAGATTGAGGTAAAGACTTTCTATTCTAATTTTCTTTAGGGTTTTTTTTTTTATCATGAATGAGTGTTGGATTTTGTCAAGTGCCTTTTCTGTGTCTATTAAGGTCATCATGTGATTTTTGTCCTTGGTTCTCTTAATGTGATATATTACAGTTTCTGGTTTGTGTATGTTGAACTATCCCTGCATTCTGAGATGAATCCTACCTACTTATGGTGTATAATCTTTTTGATGATTTGCTGCATTGTGTTTGCTAGTATCTTACTGAGGATTTTTGCAGCATGTTCATTATTGGCCTGCAGCTCTCTTTTTTGGTTGGGTCCTCTCCGGGTTTTTCTATCAGAGTAATGCTTGCTTCCAGAAATGAGTTTGGGTGTATTGCTTCCTTTTCAGTTTCATTAAAAAATTTGAGTGGCATGAGGTCTTCTCTAAAGTTCTTATGAAATCCAGCAGTGAATCCATCAGAACTTTGGCTATTTTGGTTGTTAGCTTTTTTATTACTTCTTTAATTTCATTTACTGATGTTGGATTATATTGATTTTGGAATTTCTATATCTTCTTGATTCATCTTTGGTAATTTATATGTATCTAAGAATCTTTCTATTTCTTCTGAATTTTCTATCTTATTAGAATACTGTTTTTCAAAGTACTGATGATCTGGAATTCTGCAGGATCTGTTGTGATTTCATCCTTTTAATTCCTACTTGCATGGATTTGAGTCTTTTCACTCTTTTTTTGATAAGGTTGGCTAAGGGTTTGTCTGTTTTATTTAATCTTTCAAAGAACAAACTGATTCATTGATTCTTTGTATTGTTTTCTTAGTCTCAATTGCATTAATTTCTGCTCTGATCTTTACAAGTTCCTTCCTCATATGAGCTTTAAGTTTAACCTTCTCTTTTGGTTCTAGACCCTTGAGGTTAAAATTAGGGTATTCATCTGAGTGCACTATTTTTCTATGTGGGAATTCACTACCATAAGTATCCCTTGTAAGACTGCTGTCATTGTATCCCATAAGTTCCGGTATGTCAAATTGGCATTATTGTTTCATTGTAGAAACTGTCTAATTTCTTTAATTTCATCTGTGACCCATCAGTTGTTCAGAAGGGTATTATTTAATTTCCATGTGTTTATGTCATGTTTGCAGTCCATTTTATCAAGGCCCTGGCCTAGGACCACTGATCTCCTCCTGCTCAGGAGTAGGATGACAGAATAAAACACAGACAAGATATATATATATATATATATATAAATTACAAGGAGCAGCAGGATGGTCAAAGCCCAATAAGGACTAAGACCAATGAGACACAGTGTACTTGGCCTGTATTAGGTGCACAGCTTGATTGTGAGGTGTGCTAGTGGGCTGCAGAAAGCAGTGGGGTTGAACTACTTATGCAGTCAAGGTTCAAGAATTGAGGAAACGTGCATTTTTGGAAAAGCACACAGGAATAGATCATGGTTAATTAGTAACCTGGTTGTCTGCTCACTGTGACCACTGAGCTAGATGGAATTTGCATGAGTCAAGTACTCAGCTGCCAAATTGTCTTGCTTTGAGGCACCAGAACTTTACAGACCATTTGCTAGTCTATAGTCAGTTTTGGCCATTGGCTTAAAGATAACCTGTCCATAAGCCAGCCACCAGTCGTACCACAACCCAAGTAGGCCTAGGACAGACTCTTGATTTACTCTTGTGCCATTAATGTCAATCACTGTCTGCTCTGCACTGCATCAAGCTGGTCCTCAGCACCTTTTGCCATTCATTTCTAATTTCATTGCACTATGATCTGATTATACACATGGGCTAATTTCTGTTCCTTTGCATTTACTTTAGCATGTTCTATGAGCTGGTATGTGGTATTTTGGAGGAAGTTCCATGTGGTGCTGAGAAGAATATTTATTCTATTGTTATTAGGTGGAACACTCAGTAGATATCTGCTGAGTCTGTTTGTTCAAAGGCTTGGTTCAGCTCTGATATTTCTTTATTGATTTTTTGTCTAGTTGATCTATTTGTTACAATGGGCTGTGGAGGTCCCCCATTACAATTGTACTCATGTTTAGGCTTAGTGCTGTGATGGTCTGGTTCTGCCACACAAGTGTGTGGCTCTGGAGAGCAGAGGCCCTCAGAACTTTTTCTAGTTCATGTATGGAATTAGAAGATCCCCTTCTCCAGCTTCCAGCTTCCACCTTTCTCTGATCCCCCTTTATTCTCTGACTTGCAGAGCCCATTTTTCCAGGTCTTTTGGCCACAGAGACAAGGATTTTTCTGAATTCAAGCTGCCTGTTATATACCCCATCACTGCATCACCAGATCTGCCTTCCGAAAAAGGAAGCGTGAATGAATTAACAGGAATGCTATGTGTGCATATACATGGGGAAATGAAGGATCGCCTCCCAAAGTCTTCAGTTCACAGAGCCCCTTCCCAGTTCCTGGCCACAAGGACAGGCATTGTCTGAGAGTTTTGCTCCCTGTTTCTCACTTCCATTACTGGGCCCTCCCTGGAATCAAAGCTTGGGGAGAAAAGAGGAAAAATTTAAAAATAAAACCTAACGGGAAACACTCCCCTGTACAGATTGCTTCTTCAAGTTTTTACTCCTTCCCTTAATCTACCTGCTACTGTTTACAGAGTTCGTAGGTGGTGGCATTTTATATTTGGCTTGTTTTTTTTATAATCGTGGGAGCGTCAGGCTGTAGAAGGCTGTCTTCACCTCAGCCACCTTGGAGTCTATGTTTGATATTTACTATATTTTGTAATCTTATTCTGGAAACAGACTATTTCTGGGGCTCAGGGTATAAGTTAGAGGGTAGCACTCACAAAGAGAGAGAGAGAGACAGAGACAGAGACAGAGGCTGGGGATTTAGCTCAGTGGCACAGTGCCTGCCTGGCAAGCGCAAGGTTGTGAGTTCTATTCCTGGTACTGGAAAAAAAAAAAACCAAAAAAAAGAGAGAGAGAGAGAGAGAGAGAGAGACAGAGAGAGACAGAGAGGGCGAAGAAACTGAGGGGTACAAGAGACCTGAGCCATTCTTGCTTTTGCTGACTTGGTGACTCCTGTTTTTTCTTTGTAGGTTTCTATGGGACTATTTCTAGCCCTAATTTAGGAGTTCATGAAATGAAGATTGGCCCCATCCTCTTCCAGGTGGCCTCTGGGGATATCACCAAAGAAACTGCAGATGTGATTGTAAATTCAACATCAAACACATTTACTCTTAAAGCAGGTACTTCACGCTTATGATTTTGACTAGTTAATAAGTAACACGGTAGACCCTGCAAATGAGAGTCTCCATAGCCAAACTAGTTTGGATAAAATTGACTTGTTAACATGAATTAACAATGTTAACATGATTTGTACAGTGTTTCTTATAATTGCTGACAGTTACTCTATGGATATTGCTTGTTTGTGATTAGCAGTACCCAGGCTGTAGGATTCCTTCGGTGACGGGGATAGGTTTAGATAACGAGGCAGTCTATCTGACCCAAATGCACTGTAGTCACTTTTTAAAGTCATGTTTGTGACCGTTTGGATTTCCTCCTCTAGGGGTCTCCAAAGCAATTTTAGAATGTGCAGGACAGGAAGTAGAACTGGAATGTGCTCGCCAAGGTAAGGCACAACGCGAGGTTTTGGTCTTAACTGATAAGTGGAAGGCTGGGGCTGGGAGGTTGTGAAGAGACTAAGGACAGTCTTGGGATTGGGAAGGAATGCACTGATCTTATAATCACACATTTTAGGAAAGAATGCCCAGTTATAGAGAATTAGAAGTGGAAAGTAATCTCACAATTAAAAAGAGAAATTAATCCAAACAATTTCACCAAAGATAGTATTTTAGAAATTTCTTATTTACAAAGTGCTTCCTTGCCAAATCTAGCATTTTGCTTTCTGAACAAAGAGTAGATTAAACATCTAACGTTGTGTCTTTCTGTGTTTCCCAGGTCAACAGGGCAAACTTGAGTATATCATTACTAAAGGTGGATTAATGATGTGCAAGAACATTATTCATGTTGTTGGTGGAAATGATGTCAAGAGATCAGTTTCTTGTGTTCTGCAAGAAACTGAAAAACTGAATTACTCATCCATTTGCCTTCCAGCCATTGGGACAGGTTTGTAGCCTCTTTGGCTGTAAAGGTCAAATGCTAAGGCATCCACTTTCCCATAGATTTGGTGCTGAATGTTAATGTGGTGGGTGTAACTGAATCTGAGTGAGGGCCATGTGGTTTATCTAAGAGTGGACAGCTTTTTCACTCCAAGGCTGCCCCTAAGGAAATAAGCAAAACCTGTGGGTGGTTTCAATAATGGGAGAAAAAGTGATCTGGATGTATGGTGTGCGCCTGTGGTCCCTGCTACTGGGGAGGCTGAAGCAGGAGGATTGCTTGAGCCCAGGTGTTCTAGGCTAGCCTGGGCCACATAGCAAGACTTCATCTCAAAGAAGGAGGAGGAGGAGGAGATGGAGAAGGAGAAAGAGAAGAAGGAGAGGAAGAGGAGGAGGAGGAGGGGGAAAGTGAATTGGGATGTTGTGGGGGGAAAAGGGAAAGCAAGGGAGGGCGATAGAAGGGAGAGGTAAGAAAGGCATCCCTTCTGCTCTTGCATCTGCTCCTCTCTCTTTTCTCTTCCCTGCACTCCCTCCCTTGTTTAACCCCTCACCCCTTCCTCCACCCTTCCCTGCGAAGAATGTCACTGCACCAGCTTCCTGGCTGCTAGTGCAGCCCTCAACTCAACATCTCCTACATTGTAGAGGCCCCCCAGTCACTCAAACCTAGCAGGTCAGAACCGCAACTCTCTGCCTCCCTCTTTTGGCCTGCTTGGTGCTTTTGAGTTTGTTTTCCTCAAACTATGTGATGATCGTGTGATTCTTCATCTATCAGTGTAGTTTTCAGGTTGATCATTCGCTAACGGGTGCCCTTGAGGCTGTCTCCCCAGGAGCCAGGGCTCTGTGTATCAATGAGGAGCAGAGCTTCTGCTTGCTCTCTCTCAGGGAGCTCAGCAGCCCAGGAGTGCGGGGCGTCTGAGTGGTCCCCACAAGGGAGGTCTCAGCATGGGAGCTCTTGTTCCCTTGCTCAGGAACCTCAGCTTGAGTTTGTGGGCTGGCATTCCAGGCTCTCCAAAAGTCCAGTCTCAATACACTTAGCCGTCCTTGTCACTTTCTGGATCTTCTAATCCTCTGACTCATATTTTGCTTCCTGTAATTCTACACCATGTCTCCTGATGTTCCTAGATGGAGTGGCATAAGTCTACTTCTCTATTTCCAAGAGTATAATTAATGATCCTTCCATGTTTTTTATTCCCCTCGTGGTACCATCCATTCCTAGCAATCAGCCAGCATTACCTTTGTCTGTGTTTCAGGCTAGCTTTCTGCTTATCTGTCTTTTATGGACACCCGTTCTCTGTCTCCATCTGTCTGTTGCTGCTGCTGTTCCTATGAGACCTAGTCTTAAATTACTCTGAGCCCAGGAAACAGCATGCCTGGGGTGGCACAGAGCTTTCCAAGTAGTCACTGGGTGGAGTCAGAATGCGAAACACAAGAAGGAAGTGGCTTTCATGTTTAGGCAAGTGCTCGGCCACATCCCCAGCCCTCCTGTCATTTTTATATAAATCTCTGAGTATTTCTGGGTTGCTGCCTACCTACTATCTCTCCACTGGCCTGGCTGCATTGCTGGTCTGCACAAATAAGGCAGGGCTAGCAGGCTGTCCTCACTTGTCCTCGCAGCTATCTCTATCACTACCTGAGCTGGGCTTTAAAGCTACAGATGGAGGTGCTCGGCCCTAGCGTGGTGCTTACAGGTCAAATGAGGACTATGATCAAGACGACCTATGGGAGCAAAGGAAGCAGCCTTGTCCCTTACAGACCCTGCACAAGGTGGGAGGAGATGAGTGGTCAACAGCAGCCACAAGCAACTTAAGCTCAGTGCAAACCCAAACTCCCAGTCATTGTTCCCCCCCAGAAGTCCAAGCCTTCTTCTTCTTACATCCTCAGTCATGTGAGGAGCATCACTTTCCTCCTGGCGTCCTTGACTCCACCCTCTTTATTACCACTACATTCATTAGTGCATTAATGGATTTACCTCAATATTAGATTCAATATTTTTGCACTTAGTCATAGGAAATAGAAAGAGGACTAAGGAAAAGGTCCAGGCCACAAGGACCATCAAGTCAGGCATGTAAACGAATCACTGCAATGGTGTGACCCGGGCTATGGTGAAGGCATGTGGGTGGAAAAGGTGGGGGAGGCAGGGTCAAGGATTAACTCATTTGGCCACTAGGTGCTCCTGACTTTTCTTCCTAAATGCCTCCTCAGAGCCTGCACCAGACTCTTCATCCCAGCCTCCTCTCTCTGTTCAGCACTTGTCTTCTGTCTAATCTTTTATGCTGGCTTCCTAACTAGACCTGTATCCTCTACTTCTGTGCCTCCTCCAGTTTGACCTCCAGGTTTATCTTTGTCTCCTTGATCCTAGCCAGAAGGCTGAGTAGCAATCAGATTCATCTTTCTCAAAAAACAATGTGCTGCCTGTCCGTGACTGTCTGAGCATATGCTTCTGTGGTGCGAAGTTCTCTCTGGCAAAGCGCTTCCTTCAGTTTTCCGTACTTCACCTGTTGAACACCTGTCCCTCCTGCCTGTCACTGTGTCCTCGCTGAGTGGCCTGTGATGATGGGGCATGACAGATGTTTATGGGAGAGTATCCAAATGATCTGGATACTTCCATTTAAATTCTTCCAAATATCATGGGAAAATCACAGCTTTGTAAATAAGAATTTCCCTCTTTTTCGGTTCATCAGTTTTTTTAAAAAACTGATGAACCGAAACTGAAGAGAGTCTCTTAGTTAGTTCTCTATGGGGTTTGCTACATTCCCACAGTTGTGTATATAGCCAAGTTGGGGAGGTCTGCTCTCATTTTTTGCAATTACTGTAGTGGGGACTACCGACAGGGTAATCTGAATGGGCTCTTAATTAACACATCAGCTTGGCCAGGAAGCTTTTTCATCACCTACCATGTGACTGTGCCAGCTGCCATTCATGTGGGACCATCTTCTTGGCCAAAAAGGTACTTTTCATGAACTTGCCTGTGCAGTGGTTTTCATAGCTTGAGAAACAAGATGCGCGTGCTGGAAACATGAGGGTATCTGCTCAGTGGCAGCCTTGAGCCCCACTGGTCAGCTAAAATTTCAAGTAGTCTGGGAGTAAAGACTTCCTGGAGACTCAGGATAATTTGTATCCAAAGGATCAGAGATTATTACAAATAGCTTACCATGCTGCGTGCTTTACACAGTTATTCTAGTTTAAATCCGGTCCCCTAAGATACTTGGGAGCGTATAGATGCATAAAACCACACAATGACACAAGAAAAAACATGTTTTTCTCTGCTGGGAGCTGTATCAACACATATTAGTATCTTTTGCCTCTTACGGTTCTTTTGAGGACATTAGTGAACTAAGAAGACGAGTTACCTGCATCCTGTAACTAAAGGAGCACAGTGATTTGGAATCACCCTAACAGGCAAATAAGAATGTCAGAGACCAGAAGTTAGGCTTCAGCGTCCCTTGTTCCTTGCTGGGTGGTTGACTTCCTGACATCCTGGAACAAAAACCCCTTACTGCATCTAGGACTTCAAGTGTATCTGCTTTTACTTACATTGTTAGAAAAATTTGCATGGATGAAAGAGTTGGGACTTGGCATTTATTTTGTAAGAACTGGTATTCCTAATTTTCCTTTTTATATTTCCCAGTTGGGCTTTTTTTCTCCAGTCATTTTTATTATTTAATTTTCCAGGAAGTGCCAGGCAAGACCAAAATAAGGTTGCTGAAGCTATACTTGATGCGATTGAAGACTTTGTCCGGAAAGGATCAGTTCAGTATGTGAAGAAAGTTAAAGTGGTTATCTTTCAGGCCCCAGTCCTGGATGTGTTTTATGAGAACATGAAAAAAAGAGAAGGGTCTCAGCTTTCTCACCAACCATCAATGATGTCTAAATTTGCCTGTGAGTGCTTTATTTTTATGAAATACATGTTCCTAATATTGCGTTTACATGGGAAATAGCTAATCTTCCTTTTCTCTTTAGCCTTGCTTGGTCTTTCAAAACCTTCCATAAAAAAGAAGCCCTTGTTTTTGGAAAAGAAAACAGAACTGGTGGTCTTCCAGGTGTGTGGTGAAAACCAAAACCGTGTGGACCAAGCTATCAGCTGGTTAAAGGCCCTGATTACAAAGGAGCAGTGCTCTTACACCAATACAGATGAGTGCGTGAGAGATTTCGATGAGAAGGAGTATAAGAAACTGAATGAGCTGCAGAAGAGGTTAAATATTACCGTTTCTCTGGATCAGAAGAGACCTTTTCTGGAGGTTTTAGGAATTAGCAGAGATGTGATGGAGGCTAGGGATCAAGTTGAGGAAATGATTAAGAAGGTGAGATTGGCCAAAGAAGAAGAAAACAGGGCAGACTGTATTAGTGAATTTATAGAATGGCGATATGGTGATGATACCACTTCTCGTCATTTTGACAAAATGACCAATCTGCAATTGGAAGATGCGAGGAGAAAAAAGAGCAAGAGCACCTTTGTCAAAATTAAAGATCGATGCTACACGGTAAACTTCAAAGACTACACTGCCACGAGTCCGGATGGACACATTTTAACTGTTCAGCGCATCACAAAATTTGAAGGTGAGTTAAATTTTCATGCTTGTCATCCATTTCACACCTGCTTTGGACTTACCAATCATTGTACATACATCAAATTTTTAGGTAGGTAAGACTCAAGAAACGTTGCTAGAATACACTAGAAAACTTGGGTCTCTGAGTTCAAAGAACCTGCATTATGGCCAGGAAAACAGCACGGACGTGCTTAATAACCCAGGGACGCTGAATGAATAGCCAAGCCTTGAGTTTGTTCCCATCTCCACCACTTATAAACTGGGAGGAGCCAGTTCTGCTTGGGAGGTAATGGCTGCTTCAGCCAGAGGAGGGAAAACTATAGCCTTAGAGGAAAAGTAGCCCAAGGGTTTTTTAGAACAAAAGTGCAGAAGGACAAAACAGAGGGGACAGGCTGTGACCAGTGCCCTCTGTGTGTGTGTGACTGATGACCAAAGCAGGATCAGAAGTTTCCTTCCAGAAGTCACTCTGCTCTGAGAAGGTTGCTTAGCATAACGTCAGGGAGCAGCCTGAGATTCCCTGACTGCATCTGCTCCCCAAGAAGGAAAGCTTATCTTGTGTAGACCGCATTTCCAGCCTGCAAACCACATAAGCCCCCTACTGGAAATCAATGACTTGGTTTCCAACGTACTATATTCATGAACAAACTCGTCAGATTTTGAGTAAACCTGCCTATAGTATTCTGTTTAACAAGGTAGGAGATAGAGCTGTTCCCTCAACATGTCACATAATAAAGCCTATCACCCACCTAGGTCTTAAAGAGGTTGTGGAGGGGAGCTAGAAGACAAATGGGCGTACCCTGTGGCGGTGGTGAGGCAGTCTGGCAAAAATCCACGCATAAACAAACCAGGAGCTACTGTTTAGAACATGGCATGGAAATAACATTTTGTTACATTATGGGAGTGGGGGCTGAACAGAAAATCTAGATGAGGTGTACTGTACCATCTTAGCAGGATCAAATTTAAGATGCAGACACACAGGCTCCACCCCTCAGAGACTCCGATTCCATATATCTGTGACATTTCTTTTTTCTTTTTTGGTTCTAGACATCAAACCCAGGGCCTTGTGCATGCTAGGCAAGCTCTCCACCACCAAGCTACACCCCCAGCCCCTTCTTTTTTAACTAACATTCCAGCTGGTTCTGATATGGGTGGGCTGTGGTCCATTCTTTGGAATACATTCTCCTTGAAAGATAAGGACCTTCTTGAGCATAGAGAGTTAGGAGATTGTAACACGAGGACAGAGAGGAGGCTCAGTTTTTCAGAGCATTCTGGGAATACATGGGAGCCCTCTCCTGTCTGCTTTGCAGTTGACCTTCCTGGGCACTGGAGTGACATGAAGCAGCAGAAATTCTGTGTGGTCCAGCTGCAGCCTGGTGATCAGGAATTCGAAACGGTGGCAGGAAAGTTTCATCAGACTTGCTCACATTTTGTCATTGAGAAGGTAAGCCTTCTGCAGATCTGGAGTTTCTTGATGGTGGAAATAAGTGATATCATGGTCTTGTATAAATGTCTTTCAGATGCTTCTTAGCACTTTTCTACGCAGAATTAGAACGTTTATAGTAATTAGATTGTAGATTCTTAAGGTCATTGTAATCACTGAGTCATTAAGATTTTTGTATCAGTTATACAATATGATCTTCGATGGCAGGGTGATGTTAGAATAATAAAGACATGCCGTATCTACTTTGTGGAGCAAGCTAATGAAAACTCAAGGCCCTGAGTTCAAAGTTGGATTTGATAACCGGTAAGCGCACCAAAGAGACACATAGAGGCTCCTAATGAGGATTCCATTCTTCTGCTCCCTATTTGCAGGCCGATGGTGCTTAGTACCTGGGTAAATTTCATGGCTCTTTCCTTGTTTATCTCAATTATTTTCACGTCTTCCATTTTAAATGTTATTAATACTGCCCTTTAGAATCATGTTTTTCCCTGACTTCTGTGCCATAGAAGAACAGGAGGACAATTTGTCAAGGACAAATGCACGGCTGTGTAGTATCTCCAATACTTTCATTCTTTTTCCTTTTATCTGATTTTCCTTTCATTACCACTGGCAGCTGGATGTTTTTGTTTCCCAAACCCCCAGTTCTGGTTTTACCCACAGGGCTTACACTTGGCTCTTCTGTCTCTGCACTTCACGAGGAAATGTTTTAACTTTCATGGCTTCAGTTATTATTTCAATGTTGGTGGTTCCCAATTCAGATTCCTAGGAACCTGAATTTCCCTTCTTACCATTTTTCCTAGGAACCTGAATTTTCCTTCTTACCATTTTTCCTTCTTACCCTAATTCTGTCCTTGGTTCCACCACTTTCTGAGTAAAGTCAGAGATCTTTAAATACTTTTCCTTCATCCATCGCAGTGGATGTAGGAAAACCTACATTCTTTGCCAATTTTCTCTTACTCTCTATTGCTACTGGAACCACTCTGTTTATTCAAGTAGTTAAGCACACAATTTAAAAAGCATTAGTGTCCCACAAAGATATATACCGTATCATTAAATGAAGGAGAGCCAGGGATGTAGTCAGGGGCACAGTGCCTGCTAGGCAAATGCAAGGCCATGAGTTTGATTCCTGGTACCAAGAAAGAGACAGAAAGAGAAAGAAAGAAAGAGAAAGAAAAATGGATAAAGAGAAAATGGAGCCAGGAGCGGTGGCACATGCCTGTAATCCCAGCACTCAGGAGGCTGAGGCAGGAAAATTACTGAGAGTTCCAGGCTAGCCTGAACTACATAGTGAGACCCTGTCTCAAAAAAAAAAAAAGAAAGGGAAGTAGGAAATTAAGATAACATAGAAGTGTTGCTAGTCCACAAAAAGTATATAGCATGAAGTCCTACACAGCTGTGCATTTGTCCTTGAGCTTCCTAGTGCACAAAACAAGGAAGGAAACACCTAGCACACAACTCATAATGTCCATAACAAGAAAAAGCAAAGCATTTGATAGGGAGACTCAGCTCTTTACAGTACTGAGATTGTCTCTTGAGATAGTTCTCGTGTGGACCAAGTACTGGAGAATACCTTTAATACCATCTTTACTATACATTCAATATGAAATTTGTATCACTTTTAAAAAGCATCCCTTAATGTAAACCAGTTGAACAAAACTGATGCCTGATTGAATGAAAACCATTCTACAAGGCACCAAGATAATGGGATGAAGGATGCAGCTCTTTGGTGGCCTAGTTGTAATTACAAAAAGTATTTCAGATTCCCATTATGGACCACTGGCAAGCTGACTGGCTCACAGTGATGTCAGTTCAGACTGAGCAGGAATAAATGTCCCAGTGGGTTAGCATTGTCCTTGATGGATCCCAGAAGGCCTTCCATGTATTGGCAGACCCTGGCCAGAGAAATTGTTTCAACATTGTATTGCAGTAGATCCCTGTTTTCCAATAAAATCCTAAGTGAAATTGCAGTACATAAATCAGATATAAGGAGAGGTAGGTAGACCCGTAGGCAGCTCTGGAGGTTCCTGGTCATGTGAAAATCCCAGCATGAAAAATGACTGATCTGTCACCCACCGGCACTGTTACGTTTTATGATTAAGATTTTTAACATCTATAACCTTTCCACTCAGGTTCCACAGTTTTGCATATTATCTCTTTCTTCTGTTTTTACTGAAGGTTTGAAAGTTGCAGATACCATGATGCTCCTATTTTAGTATATATTTCCTAAGTAGGAGGACATTCTCCTAAATTACACAAGTACCATTATACCATAGAAAAACACATTTAATGATATCAAATATTATTGAATATAAATAAAACTTCTCCAATGGCTCTAAAATCTTTTCTTTTATTTTAAAGAGAATTAAAAAAAAGAACAATAGCAAAATGCCAACAACACAGACAAAAACAAAACAAAGAAAAAACAATAAGAATGATACAGGGTTTCAGGACAAAATGATAGGGATTAACGGTGGTTGTTATATTACATACTTTTATCTTCATTGAAGTTGGTCCGATTACCAGATGTAAGAATGTAAGGTTGATCAAACCATTAAAGAGAATAAAAAATTATAAATGATACAGAGTTTCATCAAACAAGATGATGGGAATTCAACAGTGGTTGTTAGACTGCATACTGTTGTCTTCAGATTAGTTCTTCAGATTACCAGATACGTTTACAAAACTGGTCAAAAAAAAAAAAAAAGCATTAACTGTTCCTTTCAATAAACCATTAGACATCAGCAGTACAGTTATCCCAGATATCCTTCTGTATACATATATTTCCATTCCTTCTTTCAAGGCTCAAAAAATCTTATGCATCCCCCAGTCTGGGTGAACATGCTATATTTGGTTACTATGTATTTCTCCTCTCTTCTAATATAGAATAGCACTCTCACTTTTTTTTTCTTTTTTGTCTTTTTGACGCAGGGTCTCACTATGCAATTCAGGCTGGCCTTGAGCTCACTTTGTAGCCCAGGCTGATCTCGAACTCGCAATGATCCTCCTGCCTCTGCCTCCTGAGTACTGGGATTACAGGTGTGCACCACCTCTCCCAGCTCACTCTTGCATTTTTGAAAATTATTTTTCATGAGACTGAACTTTAAAGAGCTCAAGTCATTTCTATTGTAGAATGTCCCACATTCTGGATCTTATGTGCCTTGATATTTTGAGAAGAATTCAAGCCTTTTTTAAAAAATGAAAGTCTAGTCTTGTCTGACTCACTGTAGTGTCATTTCATTTATTTCTTTATCCTCTTTATTTCTAATAAACTGGGAGTTAGTTTTATAGGCTTCAGTAAGTTCAGCTAAAAATAATTTTTTTTTGGCAATACCTCATGGCAATACCGCAATACCTCCCATCAGGAGCCCCTCCGGCAAGGTTGTCCCACTGTTCATGATGGTGTTATCCAACAACCTTTTGCCCTCCCATTTTAACATCCTTTGATGGTCCTTGCCTAAATCCATCATCACACTGGAGGCTGCAAGGAGATTTTCTAATGCTGCCATTTCTTCTATGTTTGTCATCTGGCAATTTTTCAAAGAATAAATTTTCTTCCCTCCTGCTTTTTAGAAAATTAAATGTTGTATTTAATTACAGTGGTTTTTTTATTAGATGCACAAATTATCCCACCTATCGAGGTAGTAAGTTGGCTCCTATCTCTTTTGATGACTGCATGAGTCCTGGAGCATTTCCCTGCTTTCGGGCACAAGGTCTGTCATGTGCACCCTGCACTTTACCTGCCCCAGGCCAGAATCAGCATTTTCCTAGAGGCCTGGACTCCTGGCAGAGGGGACTGGTGGTCAGAAACCAGGAGCTGTGGGCTGAGCATGCTCACTGCTGCTGAGGTGCTGCTTCCAGACTAATACTGAGGGCCAGGGATATGGCTCAGCAGCATAAGTGCTTGCCCAGCAAGCCTGAGGTCATGAGTTTGATTCCTGGTACCAACAACAACAAAACAAAAACAAAAACAGACTAACGCTGAGAAAACCACGAGTCCATGTTCATGTTTTCCTGTGACCTGTAGTATTATGGAATTTTTCTCACTATCTTATATTTTGTCTTGTTCTTTTTCCTGTACAACAGAAAGTTTGGTTCTTCAGAACAGTAATTTACTTGTTTTAGCCTACAGTATACATAAAATTGTTTTAAAATTACAATACCAAAATTATTAGTAGTAATTTAAAAATAGTGACACTAGCTTTATTACTGTTAACTATATTTTTTCATTAGTTTTCTTTTAACCTTTTTATAGCTATAATATTTAAGATGTGTTTCTTAGTAGCAACATGTACTTGAGTTTTCCTTTTTATCTCTTAACTGGAGTAATCTATTTACTATATTTATTATGTATACTGGTGTATTTGGATTAAAATATTCCACATTAATCTTTGTTTTTCTATTTAGCACACCTATTTTTTGTTCTTTTTTCTCTTTTTCTGCCTTCATTTAGATCAAGCATTTCTATTATTCTATTTTCTTTTTTTTTTTTTTTCCGGTACCGGGAATTGAACTCATGACCTCGTGCTTGCCAGGCAGGTGCTGTGCCGCTGAGCTAAATCCCCAGCCCCTTATTATTCTATTTTCTTCCCCATGAGATTGGTGGTTATGTATTCTATTCTAATTCTTTTATTTATTTATTTTTACTCTAGAAGTTATGTGTGTTCTTGACTTATTAAACTCTTACATAAATCAGTATCCTTATCGTCTCCTACACAATGCAGTGATCTTTGAATGCTTTAAGCCACATTTATCCCCCTCCTGAATTTTGTGTTACTTTTAACAGCTACCAAAATTATTTACCCTTTCCTCCCACTGCTCTGCAATGCTTCCTGCCTCTCTGTGCCTCCGCGAGGGTGATTTGGCCTGGATTTAGTTCTTCTCACGCAGTTTGTGTGGTAGTGAATTCTCAGTTTTTGCTTTTCTGCAGGTGTCTCTATTGCACCTTCATTTTGAAGTATGTTTTTATTGAGGGTAGAATTCTGGACTGGCAGTTGTTCCTTTAGGCATGTTGAAGAACTTATTCTACTGTCCTCTGACTTTATTATTTCGCTGTGTATTTTCTTTCCCTCTGGAATCCTCGCTTATCAAATCCTTGTCTTGAAACAGACTTTTTTCTCCCTTACATCTTCTAGTAGTTGTGGGTGAGAGGGTTGGTCTGATATAAATAATATACCTGGGCCAGAAATCTGTTTCTAATAATAAACCTACTAAACAAAGCTTAAGATTGAATTTATTTGTAATATTTTTTGACCTTAGAATTTATTCCATGGGGAATATTGATTCATTACTGTGTTCAAATTATTTGAGAGTTGTGGGTATGTCGCAGAGATAGAGTACTTGCCTGGCCTGCTTGAGGACCTAGGTTTGATCCCTAGCAGCAGGCCAAAAAGAGAAAAAAAATGTGTATGTGTACCTGTGTATACATGTTAGGGATGGAAATCAGAGCCCCATCACTTAGCTGTACCCCAAGCCTTGAAAGAAGTATTTTCTTGGTGTGGTTATTACATTTTAAAGTCTAAGAAAGAAACTCTGCAAATTTTAAAATGAAAAGGCTAAAAAATGGAGAATGATTTCAAAACTCAAGGAAAAATTTGAAGCCTTTAAAAATTGAGTTAAGTTAGCAAGATTTAAGGTACATGGAAACAAAGTGGGACGTAGTTTAAAGACTGGAAATTTGGCCGTACGTAAAGAAAAAGAGGAAAAGATAAATCTAATAAATTATGAAATTTGTTTTCTTTTATAAAATAAAAGTATTTTAAATCAAATCAGATGGACAAATTACCTGGTAATGCTGAGGCTCTGAACTAAAGGGCAAGTGGGTACTGTAATTAAAAATAGGAGTCACAACTAAGTGCCAACAACAGAGAAACCAGGTGAAGTCAGGTAACAGTATCAGGCCTGAGAGCCCCGCAGAGCAGAGCAGGATGCTGACGGTGCGGAACCACTTCGGCCACCACTCACTCCTCCCAGGGCAGCTTTCTCACCTGCATGGTGAGTGGGGGAGTTCAGAGGCCGACCCGAGACCAGGGAACCAGCTGGCTTTCCCACAGCCCCCGCGGCCACTGCTCGAAGGCAGCCAAAGGCATCACCACTTTGTTCTGCAGCCAGATTCCCACCTGTCAGGGTTAGTGCTACGCCCTTACAAGCGAATTCCCTGAATTTCTTTCTTGCCCAGATGCTCCGGTGCCTCTCTCACTATTAGAACATGGCCAGGTGCTGGGTGTGGTGGCAAAGGCCTATAATCTCAGCACCCTGGGAGGCTGAGGCAAGAGTGTCACAAGATCAAGTCCAGCCTGGGCAACTTGGTGACTTAGCAAGACCTTGTCTCACAATAAAAAAAAAAAAAAAGCTGGGGTTGTAGCACAGGATGACGGTCTTGTGATCAATGGCTAGCTCAGCAGGCATTCCAGGAACACTGGAGTGGCAGAGGCCGTGACAGAGCCAGAGCCAGAGCCAGGTAGGGAGCGACAGGAGAAACTGGAGGGGACACAATAAGCAGCCACTGGAGAGGCTGGGGCAGCCTAGTCCAGATGATGAGTACTTAACATGCTAGACATTGTTTGCTATTGCAGTGCATAGAAGATGTCAAAAGTTGCACCAACACTGGGCCCAATGCCTGTTTTTATGATAAAAACACTAGATCTAAAAGATTTCTGGATACTGAAAGCTGCCACGTGGCAGTGGATTTGCTGTTGAGTTAATCTTTATTTATGAAAAACAGTGGTCACGTTTTCTTTGCCACATCTTGGCAAGTGCTCTTGGCACTGGCACGATGCTCCTCTTTAATAATCTGTAGATTGAGAGGATCCAGAATCCAGATCTCTGGAATAGCTACCAGGCAAAGAAAAAAACCATGGACGCCAAGAACGGCCAGCACGTCAACGAGAGGCTGCTCTTCCATGGGACAGACACTGACTCGCTGCCTCAGGTCAACAGGAACGGATTTAACCGCAGTTATGCTGGGAAGAACGGTAAGGAAGCGGGGACCGGGCTGCCCAAGGAGGTGCCAGCCCTGAGGACCCAAGGTGGCAAGGAACGCTGTGGATTTACTGTGTCCCTGCAGTTGGTGTCCAGGGTGCAGCCCAAGTTTCAGGCCGAAACACTCACTGTATTTCATCCAAAGGGGGCTGATGGGGCTGTGAGGTGGGAAATTTGACTTTTAAAGATGAAACCCTCACACAGTGTTTAAATCTAACTCCCTTTCTATACTATTTGACATGTTGGGCCAACATGTCAAAATATACACTAAATTGAAATTCTTAAAAGTGTTTTGTTTTTCTCTTCACAGCTGTGGCATATGGGAAGGGAACTTATTTTGCTGTCAATGCCAACTATTCTGCCAGTGACACCTACTCCAGACCAGATGCACATGGGAAAAAGCACATGTATTATGTGCGAGTACTCACGGGAAAGTACACAAAAGGACACAGCTCATTCATTGTGCCTCCTCCGAAGGACCCTCAAAATCCTACTGACCTGTATGACACAGTCACAGATGATACGAACAACCCCAACTTATTTGTGGTATTTTATGACTACCAAGCATACCCGGAGTACCTCATTACTTTTACACGCTAACATTTTGATTTCCTTCCTGAGAGACATCATTCATAGCTAGTTATATAAAGTTTCACCCCGTGCTCCTGACTACTGACAATTTTTTCTAAGATCAGAAGATCCTTTTTTTGTCTCCTCCACCCTCCTTTGCCACGCTGGGGATCAAACCCAGGGCCCTGTGCATGAAGCCAGGCACTCCACCACTGAACTATACCCTCAGCCCAAAAGATCCTTCTTTGTCACTGAAATCAGACTTCACCGAAATCAGACTTCACCGAAATCAGACTTCCCTCAGTTTCTTTTTCACAACAGAAATGAACCTATCTTGAGAGCAAATAAATTTGAGAATTTAAATGAGATAAGTTACAGCTGTGTGTCCACAGTGCGTGCACATCAAAGCTACGGGACAAGAGCAGGTGTATATTTTCAGGAAGGACAGAATAACAGTCCTGCAGGCAGAAGGGATACAGTCATGAAATTGTGGCCGCTGCTGGTGGAAAGTGACGGCTGGAATCGTGCCGGGATGGCCGAGGGCTGTGGGGAGCACCAAGACCGCGGCTGCCATCTTCCTGAACAAGGATGGGGCTGATTCATGCTTTTGTCCTTGGGCTGAGGTCTGTGCCTGTGATGTGGATATTCCATAAATGTTTGATAAGCCAGTTAAGAATGAAATAGCCTGGTCAGACCGCTACCCGAAGTAGCAATCATCTCTTCAGACTTATTTGCCTCCAGCTGAACATATCCATGACGGGAACTTCTTTCTTCAAAAGCAGCCCATGCGCTGGGCCTGGACAGCCGCAGCCAGGGCTCTGGGACTGCAACGCACGTTTTTGCACCCCACACAGGCTGGACCCTGGGGTTTAGCTCACTGTCTGTGCAATTGTTCCCCTAGAGCTATGTGGCAGCCAGAAGGTCCTTTCTAATGTTAAACCCAAACCTGCTTTTTCCACTGCCCGGTGAAAACAATGGCTCGAGTGCTACATTTTCAGTGGAAACCTACTGTGCTACCATTAACAAACTCTAAGGTTATTAAATAGCTTATTTCCTAAAAGTCAGAAGAGGAAAAAAGAGAAAAACAGTTCATGTAATCTAACGTGGACAATGTGTATCTCTATGTTAACCATCGTTTAAAAAAATAAAGCAGATAATTTCCAAAAAATAGCATCGTTCCCTTGACAGCCTGGCTTCTGAAGAACTTTTAAAACCTTGCACATAAATAAACCAAAGGAATTAAAGTGGTCGTATTGCTAATCTGCTAACTCAGTAAAGCTTTTTTTTTAATACTTATAAAATGCAGGTTCAGACATCACTTACTGAGGACCTAGATGGTGCCAGGTAATACAGTAGGTGCTTCACATACATTACTCGCACAGTCCTGCGAGGTGAGAATTACGCGCACATGTTCCGGCTGAGGAGACATGCTCAGAACCCAAGTGTCCTTGCCTCACATCAATTAGGCAGGAACCCTGCGAGCCAGGAAGTCTCGTGACTGTACATCGAGCCTTTGGTCCCTCACCAGAGAACACGGCCCCCAGAGAATGTCGCTACCACAGGACATCTGACCTGATCTGCGGAACACCTCCCTATTGCTTTTTTCCTTCTGGCTTCGTTGTCGGTAGGGTCTCTTCATTTCAAATTCTGTAAGCCTAGAAGCCAGAGCTTTCTGGTGTGGAGCCGGCGCGGAAGGCGCACTCGGACACGAGGGGGCGCCAGAGGACAGGCGCGGGCCCTCGCTGCCCACCAGGAGGGGCCCTCGCCCGGGGTGGAGCAGGCCGAGGACGGACTCCAGGTCCGGAAACTTTCCCTGCTGCTGTCTGTGTGTAAGTGGACGGGCCAGGCCTCTTCCTGGCTTAGGAGTGGCTTCCTAGCCACTGGCATCTGAATTAAGCACGAACACTGAAGGTGTGGAATTAGAAAAAAAAGAGAAACTTGCTCTGATTTGCTTTTGTTCTGCAGTGGTTTGGCTACCTCAGGGCAAGGTGTGTCGCACTGAGGAAAAACGATCCATCCGGTCAGGAAATATTATAGTTATCCCTGATCTAAAGAAATATCAAATATGTCATTTTCCTTCCTTTTCAGCAAAGTTACTTGAAAAATATCAGTTGGTCAAAACCATTTTTCTCCTAAAAAGCAAATACAGGGGAAGCTTACAAATGAGCAGTGGTCACTGATGATGAAGAGTGCGCGAGACAGCAACAAGAGACCCTTAGAGCGCTAACATTCACCGGAGTTTCAGGAGGGGGCGCAGTGTAGCTGGATTTAGTAAACCTGGAGGGAAAACCGACCCTGGCAAGTAGCCCCTGCCGGAACAAGCCCACTTGAGCTGGGCAGGCTTGGTGGGCGGCCAGAGGTGTGGCAGCTATGGTACAGGAGGAGGCAGCGTGGGCTGCAAGCGGGGCACGTGCAGGCGAGACTCCGGCTGCCCAGGGTAGCTTTCCTGGGCCTTGGGGCACTGGCTCACAGCACAGCCTGGGCTTCTGTTGTCCCTTGCTAACCATCTGTGAGTCATAAATGTGCTTCATAAAACTTGTGTGCGTGGGTGTTTTGTCTCAGTGGACTCAAGACCAGTTGGTAACCAGTACATGGGCCTGCTTTGTGGTCAGTGGGTGACAAGTGCCCCGGAAGGGCCGTTTATCGCTCTTTCTTTCCCTAGGCAAGCTCATGTAACAGCACTGTCTCCCTCTGAGGTCCTAGAAGCCACATATCTTTGGACTCCCTGACACCTTGGGTGCAAAGACAGAAGGGAGGGGCAAGCAGTCAACTCATCACAAAAGGAGACTTCGAGCCTTCTGTTATGTGCGTGTGTGTGTGTGCGCGTGCGCGCATGTGTGTGATGCTTGGTTACCAGAGATCAGTATGTTTTCCTAACTTCTAAGTTCTTGGACCGTAATGGTAATATTTATCCCCAGGTTTTGCAAATGTAATCAGCATGAGACTGATTTTGCTAAATTAAGCTTTTAGTTCCCGTCTCAGGGTTAGGAGCACCTGGTCCTTTTCAGTCCCAGCAATGGTACCCCTGGGTGCCCAGCTCTTCCCACAGGAAGTGCTCATGTTAGAAGCCCACCTGCTGGCTTCCTGGCTGGTATCTTGTTTTAGATGACAGAAGTTAACAGGTGAGAATTCTGCTGGTGTTAGACATGGAATCACTTCAGATCCAGGCTGGAACCCATCCACTGGATTTGTCAGACCAGCTGCCAGCAAACTCTTTCTGTAAAGGGATGGAGAGTGAATTTTTTTCTTTTTTTTTTGGCTTTCTGAGCCACACAGTCTCTTATCTTGATTCAACTCTGTCATTGTAATCCCAAAGCTGCCATAGGCAATATCAGATGAATGGCCTGGGTGTGTTCACATAAAATTTGACTTACATGACCAAGCAGCAGGTCAGTCCCTGGTTAAAGCTGGGAACACCTGGGGCTTACGTGTGATACAGGCTGAGAGGTCGGGGAGGAGGACAGGTGAAGACCGAGGAAAGAAGGCCGATCACACTGTTCATAGAAGGTGACAAAAGACTTGAAATTAGCTAAGAACTTATAAACATGCAAATTGACCTTTGGCTGTTACATCTTTTATTTTAAAATCATACTATGTTTTACAAATATACTTTGAAAATGTTATTCAAAAAGTCACCTTCTATGAGAATCACAAGCTTTTCATTTCTATCAAAAGTTGTGCCACCAGCCTGGTTACTCGTGGATTCACCAAACAGTCCAGCAAATCATCTGTTGAGATGAGCGCCTGAGATGGGCCTGGAGCGCGACCTGAAGCAGTCTGTCCCTCTACCACATTTCCACTTTTACTCAAAGTATGCCTCTGGGGACAGCAGGATTCTGCAAAGTGATTTCCATCTTTGTCAACCAACTCTTTACCATCATTTTCCCATGGGCCACCTCTCTCTGCAGGGGGATCTTCTGGGCTTGGTGGTACAGGGAACAGATCAGGGCCAAAGAGACTCTCCGGGTCCTGCTCTCCAGCTCCCGGGCTGTCGTTCTGGCTGTGTGTCTGGCCCACCTCCATGCGGCTGGACACACGTAATCCTTTCTTCTCCACGTTCTCCCCATTTGTTTTCAGGGCTTGAATTTCTACTGCCTTGGGGGTTCTGTCCTGATTGAAAAAGGCAGAAATAGCTCCATTTAAGTAACGACAGTTGACTTCATGGGATGTTGCCTCAACCTAAGGGAAAAGAAACACTCTTCAGAATGGCTGTACACACTGAGTTAAGGCTGAAATCAATGCTCTAGTCAGGAAAGCTTTCCCACAGGAAGCCATCAGCCACATTAAAAACCAGAATACCTCGGTGGGGTTTAACCAAGCTCGGGTATTATGTGGATCCTCAGATGTTTTCAGAGCACACACGAGCATACGAGTGATTGCCTCTTCCACTCGGGCTAGGTGGTCCTCTTCCTAAATGGAGATTTAAAAAGTAGACTTTTAACATTTGTCTTCATGTTTCATGTGTCAAAACAGAGAACTCTGTCTTCTGACTGTGTGTCCCACTCAATAATATATGCTTTGGTACGAGAGGAGGGAGTAAGTTATCAGCACAGCAGTAATTTTTATGAATACACTATTACCTGCCATCTAGAAGAGATATATACTATTTCACCAATCATATTAAGTATGTATTTTGTCTATAGAACACTGCCCTCAAGGATGAATCACCCTTGTGATTTTTTTTTCAATCTTCTCCATTCTTGAACATGTTTAACGTTTTAAAAAGCACCATATGTACGGAGGAGTCATTCTTACAGAGTTTGGAAAGCCACTTACTTGAAGGGGAAAAGTTACAGTAAATATGCTTGACTACAAGAACGAGGAGGCTAAGCATGGCTCTGTTCAGATAAATAAGCACGAACTGTAGCATTAATGATAAACGATATTAAAATCAACTATTCATCGAAGAACACAATAAGGGAAATAAACTGTAAGGAAGTTAAAAACCATAACAAACATAACTGATAAAAGATTAATAACCAGAATATATAAAGAATCTGAACATATCAGTAAGACAAATGACCTAATTTGGGTAACACACACAGATAAGACTAGCACTCAGAAGAGCCATTATCTGACTAATAAACATAGGAAAATATGCTTAACCTCTAGGAAAATGCAAATTGAGACACTCATGAAATGGGCAACAGAGGGTCTGGTAATTCCAAGTGGTGGAGAAATGTGGATTGGCAGACAGAAGCCTTACTAATTTATCTGGAAACACACTAGCATTCTTGCACATTGCATACGCTGTAGACCAGCAACGCCACTCCCACACCTCTGCGCTGCCCCTTGGGAAACTCCTGCACATGTGTGCCAGGAGACAGGCACAAGAGTATTCTGTTCATGAAAGCAAAAACTTGGAAACGATTATCCATCGGCAGAATGGTAACTAAACTGTGGTATGTTAACAAAAGAAAATATCACAGGGAAAACTGAGAAAAAGCTGTGATAACACAGATGAATCTCAGAGGCATAGTTTTGAATTAAGAAAAGCAAAATCACCAAGATAAGACGCTAGGATAGCTGTGATCAAAAGGACAGACATTAACAAGTGGTGGGAATGTGAAGTCAGAGCCCTTACAAAGGACTGGTGGGGTGTAAAATGGTGTGGCTGCTTTGGAAAACAGCCTGGGCATTCCTACATAGGTTAAAGAGAGCTGACACACACACGAATTAATTTTGCATTCAGTAGGGTAAGGGATAGTACTTAGACGCTTGATCAAACACTAGTCCAGATACAGCTTTGTAGGCGAAGATGTTATTAGCATTTACCATCAGTTGATGTTCAGTAAAGGAGATTGCCTTCTCTAATGTGAGTGGTCTTCATCCAATCAGTAAAGGCCTTAAAAGCAAACACGGAGGTTTCCCAGAGAAGGAATTCTGCCCCAAGGCTCGAACAGAAGCCCAAAGTGAGTCTCCAGCCCGTCAGTCTGTGTTACAGATTGCAGACTCCAGACTTCAACTCTTGCCTAAATTTCCAGCCTCCCACTCTGCCTGACAAATGTCACATGTGCCAGCCTCTACAATCAAGTAAGGCAATTCCTTACACTGTTACAGTGAATCTCAATCTCTCTCCCTGTGATAGGTAGATAGACAGATAAAGAAATCTATCTCTGTATAGGAAAAGATCATTTAGATATGTAAATATAGGTAACTATATGTACCTAAGAATGGAATTGCTGGGTCAAATGAAGTATCAGGTGTGAAAAGAAGAAGCACTAGAAGATACACACAGCTAGCTATTGATACACCATGTATCACTGGCTTCATACACCGTGAGACTCATCTGTGTTGTACCACATGAAGGTACTTCCTTCCAATGGCTTAAAAATATCGCACTGTACACTCACGCTACAGCGTGCTTATGCACTCCTCAGCTGCTGGCGTCGGCTGCTATGACTAATGCCACTGTGAATACTGTGCACACATTTTTGTGTGGATACGTATTTTCCTTTCTCTTGGGTAGGTATCCAGGAAGGGAACTACAGCTCCACACAGCTTCTCAGTCAGTGCTCTCCAGAGGAACAGAACAAACAGAACATGTGCGTGGAAATACGGGAGACCAAGTGTTTTTGTTTAAACGTAAGAATGAAGATAGTGAAGGCAACAGAAGGCTGGGCTTTAGCCTTTCACTCAGAGAATTCTCTCAGGAGTGAAGAACAAGACAAGGACACCTACTCCCTCCGTCAGTTTTTTGCTGTGGTGGCTGTACCAGCCAATGCCATCAGAAAAGGAAAACAATCACAGGTAATCAAACTGGAGAGGAAGAGTAAAACAACCCTCATTTTCAGGTAACCTGAGAGAAACCTGAAAATACAAGAAAAGCAATAAAAATTATAACACAATAAAATAATTCAAATTAACACAAAAAAATCACAGCTATCATATATTTTACCAATATAAAGTTAGAAGAAATAAGAGAAAAGGTCCTACTCATTACAGGAGCAAAAAAGATAAAATATTCAGTAATAAACTTTAAAAAGAAACATGCAATAAACTAAAACTAGAAATTTCATTCAACTCAGCTATTCCCCTTTTTGGTATTTTTCTAAATGAGTTAAAGATCATACTTGAGTAACACATGCATACATATGTTTATAGCAGCACAACTCATAATAGGTAAATCATAGGAGCAGCCTATATGTCCCCCAACACAAGGACGGATAAAGAAAACGATATTTACACACCATGGAGAACCACTCTGCCAAAAAAAGACAAACTTGAGTCATTTGTAGGAAAATGTTTGCACCTTCAGACCACAACGATAAATAAATCAGACACACAAGTTCAAATATTCCATAGATTCTCTTATATGAGAAACACAAAATATAAAGAGCAAAGTAAAAGATAAGAGGAAGAGGGAGACAGATCTTTCTCAAATGGAAAGGGGATCAAGAGATGGAGAAGGGGGTGCTGGGGATTTAGCTCAGCGGCAAAGCGCCTGCCTGGCAAGCGCAAGGTCGTGAGTTTGGTTCCCGGTACCGGAGAAAAACCAAAAACCAAAAACCAAAAACAAAACAAAAAAAAAAGAGATGGAGAAGGGGATGAAAAGAGGAATTAAGGTGTGTCATGCACACACACTAACTCCACACAAGCACCCAAGGAATGTAAGTATTATGTACCAAAAAAAAAAGAGGAAATGTACAAAGCCCAAATGAGGATGCTCCTATAACACAGAAACTGGACGTGGACAGTGGAAATTCATCTCATTCTTGGACAGGACAATTCAACATCATAAAGTTCATATAAAATTTAATATGGAGTGAACGAAAATACTAGTAGGTTTTTTCCTGAAGCTAGACAAGTTGATTTTAAAGGCCATATGAAAAAAATAAATGCAGGAATAGCCAGGGAAACACTTCTAAAGAAAAGCCGTGACAGAGGTTAGTCCTTCTGTTAGCAAACCTCTGCTTTGAGATTTCTCTAGATAAAGCAGGGTGCCACTGGGTGTGGTGGCTCATGCCTGTAATCACCGACACTCTGGAGCCCAGCCAATTGCATTTTAGGAAGACCCTGTCTCAAAATAAAAAAAATTTAAAAAAAGAAGAGCTGGGGATGGACTCCAGTGTGTAGTTTCTGGATTTAATACCCAGTGTTAGAAAGAAAAAAAACAGTGTGTAAGTGATAAAAACTAGGCAGAAAGACCAGTGTAAGAAATACAGCCAGATATGTATAGATATTTAATACAGTATATGATTAAGATGATCTTGAATCACCAGGGAAAAATACGCTTTAAAACAAATGATATCTCTGACACCCCTGTTACCACTGGGGGGGGGGGAGGGAAGATATAATTAGAGCTCAACCTTACACCACACACTAGAAAAAAATCTCCAAATGAGAAACAGATCTAAATGGAAAACAAAAAGTTTACCAGTCCAAATTCCAAAAGAAAACATTAGTGAACTTCTTGATGACCTAAAAATGGGGAAAGTCCTTCTATGACTCAAAACCCAAAGACCCGCAGAATCTGACAATGCCTTCTGCTCAGCAGGCTGTGGAAAGAACAGCCTCCCCAACGTGTGTGAGTGAGGTTGGTGGGGAATTTGTTAAAACCTGATCAAATTAAAGCTACCCTCACCCTGTGACCTGGGAAAGCCACTTTTCAGAATCTCCCCCAGTAACACACTTCAGCAAGTATAAAACTATGTGCAAAGCTGTTCATTGGCATTGTTTGTAATTGCAAGAGACTGGAAACCATCAAATATCCCCACAGAGAACATACTAAGTGATACTGGAACACTCCCACAATGGGTTACTCTATAGACACTGGTGAGAAAAAATGATGTTTCTCTGCATTACTATGTGGTCAAATTCAGGATAGGATTAAATTTATAAAGTAAGGCACTGAACCCCATAGCTCATTACTTTATAAGAAAGAACAGCAAATACAAAAGTGTATCTGTGAATAAGCATATAAATAAATATATACACAAAGACATTTATATAAAAATGTATGCATTTGTTTACTTATTTTTATATTTACATGTTTAGCCCAAAAGTCACACTGGAATGATGAACTAGCAAGGAATAAAAATGGACCCGTATGAACCCTGGTAGGAATTAGGTGGAGGGACAGGGGTGAAGAGGTACTTCTCTGAAGGTACCTTTTATATGGTTTTGACAAATTAAATTTTTACATACTCAAAAGATTAAATTAGATGGAAAATGAATAAGTCATTAAATCCTAAAATTTAAAACTGAAACAAATGAACCTGAGTATCAGGTTAGTAACATGGCTATTCTTTTACAATGACTTCTTTTTGGGAGTGAGTGGGTACCAGGAAAGGAATCCAGAGAATGTGAAGCTACATCTTCAGCCCTTTTTATTTTTCCATTTTGAGAAAAAAGTCTTGCTACAACTACCTGGGCTGGCCTCAAACTTGTGATTCTCCTGCCTCAGCCTTCTGAGTAGCTGGGACTATAGACACGTACCACTGTGTCTAACCTTTTACAGTGATCTGTGAACAAAGCACTTTCTACCTACCTTGGTAGGATATAATGTAATGATAAAAAGGACTGCAAGGAAGTATTAAATTTTACTTGCAAATTTATGGTTAGTGGTTATTATCAGTATTAGAGTTTCAATTGTAAATCCGACATCTTGAAAAAAAATATTGTTGGATATGACCGGGCGTGGTGCCACATACATATAATCCCAGCACTCAGGAGGTTGAGGCAGGAGGATCACTGTGAGTTTGAGGCCAGCCTGGGCTACACAGTGAGTTCACGAACAGCCTGGACTACACAGGCTGACTCTGTCTCAAAAAACAAAACAAAAAAAAATTATATATATATATATATATATATATTTGAATAAAACAAGTATATCCATACTTTCAGGATGAGATTAACACAGAAAACAAATTTGGCAGCTGCCAAAAAGAGTGGAGAGATGCTTGGGTTAAGAAGAGCAGAGGTGTAGCCAGGGTCTGGGGCCAATGAGGGTACTCGTACACTCCAGGCTCCTGTTTAAAGCGACAGACATGGCCATCACACGGGGCAATTGTAATTGCCAAATAGAGCAGGCAGCCACAGTTAGGCACAGTGTATTGGTGGGGAAAGGTTTCTGGCAGACATAGATGATGCAAACCAAATGCCCTGAGAAGATGTGTAAGGCAAGACCAAGAGTTCCGCATCTACTAATGAGGATCCTGAACCAGGAAGTGGCTGCAGTGGACTCTTGACGCAGGAACTCACTGAAGGGCTGGTTGTAACGCAAGCTGTCAGTGGAAGGCTCAGGCTCCTCTACACAGCCTTCGAATCTCTCGCCTGTATACAGGCAGATCTCAGTGTCCTGAGAGACACTGGCACAGGATTTCTCAACTAACCCCATCCTGGAAAGGATGTTATAATGCTCCCTCCAGAACGCTTTAAAAGCTAACTCTGTATCTGAGACCGTCTGGAAGCCCAACTGGCCAGCATTCATGTCATAACTCAAGACTTGGATTGTAATTTAAAACTAAAAAGCTGATCATAACCCAAGTTGTGTGTATGTCAGGCTGGTTGTAACTTGAGGGTCCATTGTGTTTTCAGTCCAGATGGCGTGGGACAGAACTGGCAGCACAAGGCAGACAGATCCAGCCAGACTCAACACAATTTTCCTAATAACAGTGGCCGAGGGAGTGGACCTAGCACTCAATGTCAGGGCCCACCGTATGTCTTTTGTTTTCTTTGTTTCTTTGAGACAGGGTCTTGCTAAATAGCTCAGCTGGCCTCAAACTTACAGTGACTGTCCTGCCTCAGTCACCCAAGCGCAGGGATTACAGGTATCTGCCACCATGCCAGGCCTGTGTGTCCTTTAGAAAGAGAATGCACATCTCTAAAAACTCTATTTCCAATTTAACTGTGCATCAGCAGAGGACAGAATCACAGTACAGCAAAACAATATAATCACAGGGGGTTGGTTAAAGAAAATTAATCACCAAATTTTATAGACAGGCTTTGTGCATCTTAAAAGCAAAGACTTAATTTGTTTTTAAAAGGAAAACAGCAAAAACATACCAGTTCAATCCACGAGTTTATACTGACAGTGACAGGATCAATGGATTCCACGTAATGCCACCAGTGTCTGGGAACAAACAGGACCTGAAAACAATATGAAAAAATAGATAAGGCTAGGACAGTTCATTTTTATGTCAGAGGAAGAGTCCCATTGAAGCTGCCAGGAAAAAATACAATGAATTCAAAATAATAGCACTGAAGGAAAGGGAAACAAGAAAACAAAGCCTATAATCTCTTTTTATTGACGAATTCTCATGTTGTAGAAAGGGTTCTGCCAGTTTCTCTACTCTTCTTAATCTTGGGCCTTCTCTGTCTACATTTAAATTTTAGCAAAGACCTCTGAGATTCTACGTTTTCCTGCGTCCCATCACAAAACAATTTTATATATTCTGAGAATGGCATAGGCAAAAAGGTGGAACCCAGTTTCTGTCCTTTTACAGTTCAAAACCCAGGCGATGAGAAGATAATGTACAGGAGGGGCATCACATGGTGACGAAGCAGAGACTGTTCAGCGCGTCAGGACTCCCAGGGTGGGAGAAGCAGGCCTGAGCTAGGGGGGCAGGGGCAACCTGGACAGACGAGGCATGATTGAAATGAGGCCAGAGGTTAGAGAAAGAATGAAGATATGTCACAGGAAGAGGTGGCAGAGACAGTGTGGGTGGAGCCGGTGAGGGGAGGTAGCAAGTTGGCCAGTCTCAGAGGGAATCATGGGGGTAGGCCCAGCCGAGGACCCAGACTAAAGAACGTGGATTTTATCCTGGAGGGAGAGAGTCACTGAGAAATTCTGAACAGAAGGATAATTAAAACTGACATTAAGAAAGAGACTGTAAAGCACAAGAAATTCTTGGAATGGTCTTTTCCGTGAATGTTAAGCTCTAAGTAGGAAGATTAAATAGACACAAGCACTGGGCTGGGGCAAGGAGGATGGCATCCACACACACTCAGTACCAGACCCACAAATGGAGATGATGAAGCTCTGGATTTCAGAAACGAGTGGCATTTGCTCTGAGAGGACAGGGCCGGAGGGAAGAAGTTTCTTTTGGGGAAAATGACCACTAAAAGGGCCATGGGTTTAGTCATGATGAGGGTGCTATGGTTTGGAGTGATCCCCAAAGACCATATGTTGAAGGTCTGATTGCCAGCCTGTGGCATATTAGGAGATGCTGTGCTGACACCAGCCCAAGGGACAGAGCCAAACAACCACTGACTGAACACCCTGAAACTGAACCCAAATAAACCTTTTCTTTTATTAAGCTGATTTTCTCAGGCATTTTGGCACAGTGACAGAACACTAACACAGGAGTCACGAGTGTCCTATTGTACGTATAGTTTCAATAAAGTGGTGAGGAACAGCTGTATTGTGGTGGGTCAAAACAGACAAAACAACTCATCCAAATTTGGCTGTTAAAGATGGAAGAAAAAATGAATTAGCAACTAGTTCATAACCATTAGAATGACTACAAGAATTACAATAATAAAAAATGGAAAACACAGGTAAGATGTAAAGAAATTGGAACCTTCATGTATTTCTGGTGGGAATGTAAAATGGAATAGCCACTGTGGAAAACAGTTTGGCAATTCCTCAAAAAACATGTCAGGGACAGTTATCAGATGACTTACCAGTTCCACGTAGGTATTTACTCCAAACCTGAAAATATATATTCAATCAAAAACCTGTACATGAATAATCACAACAATTTGCAATAGCTAAGAAGTGTAAACAACCCTAATGTCTTTCAGCTGATGCATGGATAAACACACGCTGCTGATCCATATCATGGAATATATAAAAAGAATGAAGTGCTGATAACATTCTACAATACAGCTCGCCCTTGAAAATAATATGCTCTATGAAAGACACAAGAGGCCATATGCTGTCCAGTTGCACTTGTATTAAATGTCCAGAACAGACAAATCTATGGAGACAGAAAATAAAGGGGTTGTAGGGGGCTTGGGAGGAAAGGTGTGAATGGAGAGTGACTGCTAAGGGGGTGAAGCAACTTGGTCAAGTCAAACTGTGGAGCCTGTAGTGAGGAGAGTGAAAGAGACAGGAAAAAGACAGAGGGATGGGAGCCAGGGGAGGAAGACAGGCAGGGGAGAGGGATAAGCAAGGGAATAAAGTCTGCCCAAGAGAACAAAAATCTTTCAACTGCTAATAAGCTACCAGACAGCAAAGGCCAATTTGCAAAGGAGACTCTCCCTCTGGATAGCAGCAGTAAGCACAATACCTTTGGAAATGTTTCAGACACAGTTACCCACCCTTTGTCAAATGCGAATCATTTCCCTCCAGCCTGCTTCTGGTGGCCCACTACCTACACGCATCCCAGCCTGTGTTTACGTGTCTGGGTTCTGTTCCAGCCTCTCCGAAAAGACTCAAACTGTGATACATGTTCCGGAGACGCTGCAGTTCCCATGCCTGCTGCTCTGTCTTAACCTGTGGGTACTATGAGGTCTATTCACGAACAGGAGGTGCTAAGTTCCCTTTTCATATCTCCTTTCCAGGAACTGTAAATGTAGTTGCGGAGGCTACTCCCAGTAGCAGAGCAGCAGGAAGGAAAACATTCTCCTTTGCCCTGAGGGGGAAGCACGTGGCATAAGGGACTTGAGGGAGATGTGGCTGTACTGTCAGGGACAGCACAGGACATCAGTGTTGTAAAGCCCATCATTACCTGTCTTGGGCTCAGTGTGACCGTATGCCTTCGAGCTTTCTGGAACCGAGGGAAACACTTTAAATCAGGATTGACAACGCTGACTTTACTGAACACACTGGATTCTTCATAAGGGATTCTAGTCGGATAAAGGAAAGGTGTATCTTCAGGAGGAAAGAGATGCCATCTTTTCCTGATTAAAAAAAAGATGCAAGTTAGTACTCGGAGCTTGGGATGAAACATATACAAAGGTAGCACCTAAATCCATTCAATCCCTGGAGAAACACAGGTGCCACTTCTGTGGTCACCTGGCCTCTCATTTAATGCTGAAATCCCCTGAGCAGACATCTGGTGGGTGACTCAGGACGCCCTCAAGCGGCACCTTTCATTGCTGGAACAGGACCAATAGTTTATAAGGTCATTTTTTCATTTTTTCAAATCAAAGATTGCCCCCTCATACATTGTTTTTATCCCTGATTCTAGAGCTGCCCAAATAACCTTTCAAATATCTGCATTCTTATCCAGAATGCAAGGATAGTTTCATCTATCAAATAGCTTCTAGACTGCTTGGCTGCATTATAAATTTTTTAACTTAAACATTTGTTAAGTTAATATATTAAGAGAAATGCATACATAACACCACATAACTAAAAAAGAATATGCTATAGAAGAATCCAAAGGAGAAAACTGAAATGCTTCAGTCAATTAAAAAGGTTTTGAAACGTGGAGGTAATAAATCTTAATTCACAGAACACTAGACACATCTGCACTTTATGTCAATAGAGGAAGGTCACCAAAAAGGGGAGAAGTGTGGAGAGACAGACAGGAAGTTGGAGATGGGGGAGCAAGGAAAAAAAGAGAAACAAGCTCTAGCCCTGAAAGCAGAAGCCCTATAACCCTCTTGTGACCCCTGTCAGTTACAATGTGGCTCCAAAGTCCTTTCAGAAGTGCAGAGCAATGGCTGCTATTTTCAAACTAAGAATTATATGCCAAAGTCTTATTTCGCTTTGGAAATTGGAAAGCTTTATAGAAATAACATTTTGTCTTTACTCTGGGAGGTTGAGGCAGGAGGATCATAAGTTTGAGCCCAGCCCAGGCAATTCGGTGACTTAGTGAGACTCTGTCTCAAAAAAAGGGGGTGGGGTAGAGGATGGGGTAGGGGGTGGGGATGGAGCTCAGTATAAAAGCCTTAGGTTCAATCCTCAGTACCACAAAAATAAAACAAAAAACACTCTTACTTACTTTTCTTATTGCTGACACAAAATACCCATATCCAAAATTAAAGGAGGGAAGGTTTATTTTGGTTCACAGTTTGTAGATGTTTTGGTCTAGTTAGCTGGCTCCAAGGCAGGGAGCATGGCAGAGGAGAAACAGTCCATGGCAAAGCAGGGCAGGCAGAAGGCAGCAGCAGCCAGCAACAGGGCAGCTGAAGCAGCCTGCCTTTCCCTTTTATCCATTTGAGGCTTCCCTCCTGTTGAATGTTGCCACCCACACTCAGGGTAGGGCACCCTTAATCCCAGCATCATACTCTTAACCCAAACATCACATACCCTAGATCCATCCACCTCCAAAAAACCCCTCCTATGAACAAATGAGGCCTAGAGGGTACATCTAGATACAAACCATAACACACACACACACACACACACACACACACACATACACACGCACACACACACAAAAACCAACCAAACAAACAAAAAAACCAAAAAACCCCAAAGCCCTTTATTTTACAGAAATTCACTGTGGAACTATGTACAGCCTATCAGTTTACATAGCCATCAATTAATAAGCCTTAAAGTTCAAAAGTGGATAGCCTCACCTCAAAGCTTGGAGGTGACAAGACTGCTCCATTCCACTGTACCTATGGTGAGGCAGGAAGCCAGGCCTGGAACTGGAAAGGCTCTGAGAGGCTACTTGCCCCGTCCATTTCCAAAGCAGTGGCAAAGATCAAATGCCTGCTCAGCATCGCTCACTGGGTCCCACCAGTCAGGGGACCCAGAACATACAAGGAACACAGATGTCCATGCTTCTCCGGATCCTGGCTCCATCCCCTACACCACAGCAGTGCTTCCCAAAGGAACGGCTGTGACCATAGCCAGCCCCTCCGATCTGCCTTGCTCTTTTCAAATCTTCAGTGTGTGCGTCCTTCTGTCAGGCAGGTGCTGTGCCACTGAGTGACATCCCTGGTCCTGTCCTTCTGTCAGAAAAGGTACTGCACAGTCCCCCCTCAAAACCCCTCGTGGCCCCGTACCCTGAAAGAACGGAATAAGGAGTATGTGCTCGGGAGTGGAGCCCCTCAGGCTCCAGCCTGCCTCTCCTGCCTGATCACTCTCTCCCATGCACAACTCACACCAGACTTTCCCCAGGGTCCTCTGTACACCCCTGCCCCACCAATCTGAGCCCTTGGAACACTTATGTCCTTCAAGGCCCACCATGCAAGGCAGCTTCTCTGTGAAATCCTCTTTGATCTTTTCAACAGGAAGCTCCTGCCCACTGTGAGCCCTACCTCAAGAACATGGGCTCTATGCTGGCTGTCGGGAGCCTGCCTACACCCCAGTTGTGTGTGCTCCTAGAGGGGAGAGCAGCTGCCTCTGTACCTACTTTACTACATGGTACCAGCACAGGACACGCAATGGGTATTTACTGAACTTAAAAGCTGTATTAACTTTGTAACACATAAGGAACTCTGGGTACTCTGGGTTATGTTTTTCCAAGGTGAGTTTCTCTGGCTTGTTGCCCAATTCAGAATACATAGAAAGGGCCATTTAAAAGCAGGGCCTGTCTTACCATTGCTCACGTTCAGACAGACGGACAGTCAGACAGACAGATAGACAGACAGACAGACAGAGACACACACACACACACACACACACACACACACACCCTAATACGAGGAATTGAACCCAGGTTTTGCACTGAGCTACAACCCCAGACTTTTTAATTTTTTAACTGGGCAGGGTCTCTGTTGCCCACGCTAGACTCAAACCTGTGATCTACCTGCCCTGTGGTTTCCAAATCTTAACTCCATAAGGGCAGAGTCCACGCACACTCCATTCACTGTTGCACCCACAGCACGCAGTGGGGGACCTGAGACGTTCTCAGCCTTTTAACAGACTTGACGGATCCAACAGTGGACTCCCTCGTATCACTGTGCAGTTCCCCAGTACTTCACAGGAGAATGAGCTCACGTACACACTACTGCTTCTCTTGGATCCATTCTTGGTTTCTCTATCTAATGACTCAAAACTTGCATATGGGTATTTCCGGGTTCCCTCTGTGATGCCCTGCAATGTCCCCAAAGGGATCAACTCAGGGAGATAAGGCTGCACACACATCTGGTACATCCTTCAGGTGGCACAAACCTTACACTCTCACTGAACTCCAGGAATCCAGTGCTACCAAAAGTACTGCCAGGTATAGCCTTTATATCCCTGAGGGTCCAAAGAGAGATGGAGAGGAAAACTGACCTACGGTAGTAATATGATGTACTGTGCCTAGTGGCAGATCATAAAACTATCTGGTCCTAGCTCCCTCTACCACCAACCCCAAGGACTTGAGGGATGTGACCTGCTCACCTGCATGTATGTATATTCGGATGCATGTATGTATGCACGTATTTATTTAGAGACAAGGTCTTACTATGCAGTCCAGGTTGCCCTTGAACTCACTATGTAATCCAGGCTGGCCCTGACCTCACAGAGACTCCTGTCTCAGCCTCCTGAGTGCTAGGATTATAGGCATGCACCACCTGCTCTTATTTATTGAGAACTGAACAAAGGGTGCTGTGCTTTTGAAGAAAAGTTTGAACAGTACATATATAGGATGATATCTATTCTTATGTAAAAAAACTAAACAGAGAGCTGCAGCTGATCTGGGAACTCAGAGGACAATCTTGATCGTGGCTGAGACACACAGAAATCACTTATTTAACTCTTCCCCTTGCTTCACAAAAGGGGAAACAGTGGGCAGGTTAGAGGTCTGCCCTGGGACAGAACAGACTGGGACTGAGGTCTGGTGTTCCGACTTATCTTCCAGCTCGCATGCACGCACATACACTCATGCACACAAACAACAGATGTACGTTACCTTCCTTGCACCTGGAAGACTAAGTTACAACCATAGGTGTCCAGATGACAGGGGGTGTGCGCACCCAAGGAGCCGATCCACAATGTACTTTCCTGGCCATTTCTCCCAGGAAACCCGAAGTCAGACCACAGCACGTCCTATTTTGGAATAAAATGACAGTCTGTCAAAAACCAATGAACTCCTTCCTTCCTCTGTATGGAAGCCTTGTACCTGTTCCCTTGCACTTCTGGTTTTGGTACTTGGGGTATTCTGTAACAGAAAATGCTACAGATGGAGGAGGTTAGGTTTCCAGGACAGTTGCAAGAAATCTTTTCAACCAACAACATGCAAGAATAACCTCACTAATAGTGGTCATTCAACAAATTTTTACCGGCTACTTAACACATGCCAGCATCTGCTGCAGAAGTTTGTGATCAAACAGTGAACAAAACGGAAAAAAACCCACCTAGATGAAGCCTACATCTACTAGGGAAAGACAATAAATAGGACATAATTATGCAGCTATCGGGGGGAAAAGTATCTGTGGCAGTGAGAACTGTGAGTGCAGGAAATCTCTCTGAAGCTCAATTTATGAAGTCTAAAAGCCACTGTCCCTTTAAGCAGGGCCAATATTTATGGACAGACATATCTTATTAACCTTTTGTACTTCAACGACCACATAAAAGAAGTCCTTTCTAGCCAGTCATGATGCTGCATGCCTATAATCCCAGCACTCTGGGGTGCTGAGATGGGGATTACAAGTTTGTGACCATCAATTTCTTGATGGGAGCCATTCTTTCTGGAGTGAGATAGAATTTCAGTGTTGTTTTAATTTGCACTGAGCATCTTAGTGAAACCCTTAAAATGAAAACTAAAAAGGGTTCGAGATGTAGGGCATTTTAATCCCCAGTAGTACCTTGAGTGCTTGTGCACGCGTGCAAGTGTGCACACACACACACACGCTCTCTCCTAGACTAGTGGAGTTATTTGAAATTGTTGCTGCTGGAGCCTTACCCTAACCCTAATAAACCAGGTGGGGTGCTACAACACAGCTCTGAAATGCACATACTCCTCAGTAGGAACTCTGTAGTACAGTGAGTTTTAGCATAGACACAGCACAGTGCTCTGGATGTGGACTCTCCTCATGCCTGCTTCTGTTCTCAGATCCTGCCCCAGTCTACTACTAGAGAAACGAAGAATTCACTAGTAGCTCAGGAAAATAAGGTCAGGTAAAAATCCAAATACACACCATTAAAATTACAAGTTGGAAAAAAAAAAACCACACTAACAAACCAGGTATGAGTTCATTGCTAGTTTTTTAATCGTGAATTTTTCCTTTGAAGTTTAAAAAGCAAAAACATTTCTATGTGCAGAACGTAGTCTTAAATGCTGACACTTTTTTTTTTCTTTTTTCTTTTTTTTGAGATAGGCTCTCCCTATGTCTTTCAGGTTGGCCATGAACTCACTACACAACGCAGGGTGGTCTGAACTTGCAGTGACCCTCCTGCCTCAGCCTTGCAAGTGTGGGATTACAGGTGTGCACTGCAATGCCTGACCTGGACATTTTTATCAATATCTGCAATCCAAATTTTCTGTATTTTAGAGGCAAACCATTAAGAGCCGTATTCTATGGGAAAGAGGATTTTGTTTTTTTATTTATTTCGGAAAATTTTCATTCTGATTTTTGGGTCTTTTTGATTTTATGGAAAAAAGTAAAACAAAATCTCATAACAATATAATAGAATAACAAATTAATGCATTGTGCATTATTATCTTTAACGTAGTTACTCAGAGTACAAGCTATAGGCATAAAAATATTCTCCAAACAATATTAGCACAAATCTTTCTTTTCATTGAATTATGAAAACCTAGTACTATACCTACTTTGTATTTTTTTCCTTTTCCCTTTCTTTCCCCTGACATTCTAGTTTTTTCTTTTGAACAATTTCTTCCCATTACACAATATCCACTGTACATTTTGGACCTTATTTACTCTTTCAGACTCTTTCAGTCTCACACCAGGGAGACAATATGTTTTGTATACATGTGGGACTGATTTATTTCACATATGAATATGATCTCAAGTTACATCCATTTACCTATAAAAGTCTAAAGTTTATTTTTCTTTATGGCTGAGTAGTATTCCATCACATAAGAAGACCACATCTTTTTTATCCATTCCTCAGTTGATTAGCATTAGGATTGTCTCCAAGATTTAGCTATTACAAATTGTGCTGCTATAAACATGAGTGCACATATATTGCTGCGGTATGATGTTTTTAATTCCTCTGAGAAGATAACCCAGAAGGGAAATAGCTGGGTCAAATAGGACCTCTAATCCTAGTGTTTTGAGGAATTTACATGCTGATTTCCACAATGGTTGCACCAATATACAACCCCACCAACAGTTAAGAAGGGTTCCTTTATGCCCACAGCCCCACCAGCATTTGTTATTGGTTAATTTCTTGATGGGAGCCATTCCTTCTAGAGTGAGATGGAATTTCAGTGTTGTTTTAATTTCCATTTCTTGAATGACAAATTATGTTGAGCATTTTTTATATTTATTTGCCATTTGTATTTCTTCATCTGAGAAGTGTATATTCATCTCAGATGCCCATTTTTGGATTGGATCTTTGAATTTGGCGGAGGGGGGGCTAACTTTTTTCACTTATTTATATGTTCCAGTTATAAGTCCTTTGTCTGAGGGACAACTGGCTAAAATTTTTTCCCATCCTGTGGGTTGTCTTTTCACTGTGCTGGTGATTTCCTTTGATGCACAAAAGCTTTTTAATAAGATGAGATTTCAGTTGTTGATTCTTTAAAGTATTTCCCATATGATCTGGGTTTTGTTCATGAACTCTTTGCCTACACCTATGTCTTCAAGAGTTCTACTTACTTTCTCTTCCAATAGATTTAGTATTTCTCTTTTAATATTTAGATCTTGGACCCATTTTGACTTTGGTGCATGGTGATAGACATGGGTCTAGTTTTAGTCTTTGGCATGAGGAAAGTCAGTTTTTCCAGCACCATATATTAAAGAGGCTATTTTTCTTCCAGCAACCATGTTTGGCCCCTTTGTCAAAGATAAGGTGGCTGAGTGCATTTGTAGTTGTGTCTCCATCTTCTAATCTGTTCCATTGATCCTCAAGTCTGTGTTTTTGCTGGTACCATGCTGATTTTATCACAGTAGCCTTGCAGTATATTTTCAAGTCAGGAATTGTGATGCCCCCCACCTTGCCTTTGTTACCCAGAATTGCTTTTGCTATTCTAGGTCTCTTCTGTCTCCAAATGAATTTTAAGAATATTTTCTGTAGTTCTGTGAGGTATGCTAATGGTATTTTGATCAGGATTGCATTAAATCTGTATAATAATTTTGAGAGTATGGCCATTTTCACTATGTTCGTTCTTCCTACCCATGAGTAAGGGATATCTTTCCATTTTCTGAAATCATCTTTGATCTTATTTTAGAGTACTGTAATTTTCAATGTATAGATCTTTTATTTCTTTTGTTAGATTGATTCCTATGTATTTCATTTTTTGGATGCTATTGTGAAGGATGCGGTCTTCCTTAATTTCACAGTGAATGTGTTATTTTTGTATAGGAATGCTATTGATTTTGAGTGGGGACTTTGTATCCAGTTACACCAATGAATTTGGTTATTAAATCTACAAGTCTTTTGGTGAAGGTTTTGGGGTCTTCTATGTATGTAGACTATTATGTCATCCACAAATAATGATACTTTAACTTCTTCCTTTCATCTCTTTATTCCTTTTCTTTCTTTCTCTTGTCTAATTGCTCTGGCTAATGTTTCCAGAACTACATTAAATAGGAGTGGTAATAGTCGACATCTTTGTTTATTACTGATATTAGAGTAAAAGTTTCAGTTTTTGACCAGTTACTATGATGTTCACTGTTGGTTTGTCATAAATGGCTTTTATCAGATTGACAAAGGCCATCTATTTCAATTTTTTATAGAGTTTTCATCATGAATGGGTATTGGACTTTGTCAAATACTTTTTCTGCATCTGTTGAGATGATCATGTGGTTTTTATCTTTGGCTCTGTTAATATGGTGTATTACATTTATTGATTTGCATCTGTTGAACCATCCCTTCATTCCTGGGATGAATCCCACTTAGTCATAGTGTATAATCTTCTTGATGATTTGCTACACTCTTTTTGCCAATATCTTATTGAGGATTTTTGCATCTATGTTCATTAGGGAGACTGGCCTATAGTTTTCTTGTTTGTTTGTTTTGTTTTGTTTTTCTCCGGTACCGGGAACCGAACTCACGACCTTGCGCTTGCCAGGCAGGCGCTTTTGCCGCTGAGCTAAATCCCCAGCCCCAGTTTTCTTGTTTGTTTGGAGCTTTCTCTGGTTTTGGAATCAGAGTAATACTTGCTTCCAGGAATGATTTTGGAAGTATTGCTTCTCTTTCAATTTCATTAAAGCATTTTGGCATAGTGGATTTACATCTTATTTTACATCTTCTTGATTCAGTTTTGGTAGTTCATGCATCTAAGAATCTGTCCATTTCTTCTGTTTTCCATTCTACAGAGGGCAGGTTTTTGAAGTTAGCAATGATGATCTTTTGGATTTCTGTAGGGTCCACTGTGATTTTACACTTCTCACTTCTAATTGCTCGAATTCCTTCCTTTCCTTTTTTTGATAAGGTGCCTAGGGGTTTATCAGTTTTATTCAATCTTTCAAAGACCCAACTCTTTGACTCATTGATTCTTTGTATTGTTTTCTCAGTCTCGATTGTATTAATTTCTGCTCTGCTCTTCATAATTTTCCCTCATACGAGCTTTGTGTTCAATTTGTTTGTCCTTTGCTAGAAGTTTGAGTTTCAACATTAAATTCTTTATTTGACCTCGTTCTGTTTTCCTGATGTGAGAATTTACCACTATAAATTTCCCTTGAAGGACTGCCTTCATTGCATGCCATCAATTCTGGTATGTTGTATTGCCATTTTCATTTAATTATACATACTGTTTAATTTCTTCTGTGACCCATTGGTTATTTAGGAGGGTGTTGTTTAATTTCCATGTTTTTATGTAGTTTTTGTAGTTTCTTTTTCTGCTGATTTCCAATTTCATTGCACCATGGTCAATAATATGCATGGGATAATTTCAATTCCTCTGCATTTAGTTAAGC